GGATTGGCTAAAAAGAATTGGTTGTAAAATAAAGCTATGCGAGAAAAGATAAATAAAAGGCCAGATTTTTCTTATAAATAAACTTTTTTTCAGATTTAAATTATGTCTTTTATCAGCATTTTTTGAAGCAGAATATTAGAAATTTAAAGACCAGATTATAGAAAATATTGAAAGCAGTCAGGCGATATTTTAAATCCCACTCTTGTCATAACAAAGCAAATTAAAATAAATCATAACTGAGATTTAAAATTCAGGAAATTTCGCTAATATATTCCTGCCATGTTGGGTTTCATTTTGAAAAGATTTCTGATTGACGGGCCCCCGAGGAGCGGCATTAACTTCCCCTCCGAAAAAAAGAAAACAAGGATTTCCCTTTTCCAAATCATCCTTCAATTTATGTCACATTTCGAACAGAACTCACACCTTTTTCGTTGCCTTCGAGGCAGAGGAGCGGGGGCCAAAGGCGAGGATCTCAATTATGAGGGCCTAAGTGCCGTTAAAACCAAATCAATAATTTTCCTTTTTTTCCCATTCACATGCTTGGCATGTGGAATGCGGAACGTTGACAATGTCGAATGCCTGCATGGGGCGGAGATCCATTAGATATGCGAGGTCTGCTTTTGGTTCAGAGTCTGGCCCGGAATCATAACCCCTCGTCCTGGAGTCCTCACATATCCGCATAGCCATGAATTTCCAAATGACATTCAATAAGCATTCGAGATGTTCAATTATTTTTCAATTGCATCGACTTGCCGGCAGGCCACAAAAGAAATTTGATTATACTTGAGGCCTACACAGATAAATATATACGGAGAAAAATGTATTTAGACTTGTTAGAAACGGTAATTCTCCAAAAACTGTTAAATTTGTTTGAAATAGATTTTTAAAAATATATGAAAACCAAATATGGAAAGTAAATAGTTGAAAAATTAAAAATATTTATTAAGTTATAATACGAAAAATGTTGTTATCCAATAAACTTTATATGGAAAATGTTCATATGATACATAAAGTTTAATAAAATGGATTTCTTTATAACCACTAAAAAGCCCTAAGAAATTTACAAAATGATAAAATGAAACTCACAATTTAATTCACTAGCAAAATATGTAAATATGCCTTTAATAATATCTAAATTTATTTTCCTTTTTCCCCTGTGCATAATTTTCCCTTTCTTGTTGATTTTCCTCGACAGCACGTGACCCATTCAAAATAAGCCTGGTCGGAAGTCGTTTGGCACCCATTTTTGGCCTGTGTTTTGGCCATTTCCCACTTTGCCTCTCTGCCACCCCAATCCCAATCCCAATCCCAGCCACACATGCCGAGGGCGTGTCTCTAAACCAGTTAGCTACTTTGCATTAAAGCTCGCCCCAGGAGAAGAGCGTTGAGTGGCCCAACTATATCCGATAGCACTCAGACGTCGCCTGTCCAGTCCACTGTCTCTCAATTCAGATGGAGATGCGTTGTCGTGTTAGCGGAAAATGGATGGGTGTTGAGACTCAGGCCCAGGGAAATTCGGGGGAAAATGGGAATGGGAAGGAGAAGGAGGTGGGCTACAGGAAATGCTGACTTGACAGGGACGGAACCCGAAAAGCATCCGCTGCCATGGCAGCCGAGACCACAGACATGGATTTCGTTGCGGGCAGCTTTTCGGGGACCCCGTAGCGATAATCCTCTCAATCCACATGGAAATGCGAAAGCGTCAGACAATATGAGGGAACTTACACTTAGAGAAAAGTAAGTCATAATCTGGCAGATTTATAAAATAAATATACTAAGAAAAACTTTGTGGTTTATTTTTACAAATTTTAAATGTTTTTATTATGGTACAACATAATTTTTGTTAATATTTGAAAGCTATTTTTTAATCAATTTTAATTAAAAATATAATATTTAAATTTTTTTCCAAATGTTACAGATGTTTAATAATTATTATTATAGAAATATTATTTCTAAAACTATTAGGCATATACATCAAATTATTTTACTTGTCTTCCCAATTTCTTAGCGCTCCTTCAATGGTCTATAAAAATAAAAAAAACAAATTCCCAATACTCAAATATTTTCTTTTCAGTGAACATTTAAAAAAGATACAACATCACCTTGGGCAACACGAACTATCTGCTCGAAAACACTTTAAATTCTCCTTTCGATGGCGCAGCTGCCGGCGGAAGTTGTTGATATTTTGTTAACAGATTTATTTGCGCTTCGTGTTCACGCTTTCATTTGCAATTTTCCACTAGAGCTTCGATTTTCAGTTCGATTTTCTCGCTTTTCGATTAACCGGAGAAGTGGTGCCTCTCGGTTGCTTTGGCTGTTTTGTCGGTACAAAAGAAATCAAAGCATTTGAGGGAAGCTGCCATTTTCCCTGTCAAACCCATTTCAAGTGGGCGCAAAACAGTAGTGTCCTTTGGGATTGAGTAGGAGGAGGTCCTTTTGTGCTCGAGGTGATGGTGGTGGCATTTTGACAGTCCCTTTCCCTCAGTCGCCCAAAAGGAACTCGGCTCTGTCAATCTCCAGCAGATTGAAGTTGATTCATCCTGTAAAGGAGGCAGAGGCTTTAAAGTGGCTTTAGACATCACAGCAATGTCCGCAAAGCCGAATAAAAATTTTATTTCTATTTTATTTTGGCCAGCTTAACTTGTGATACCAAAATAATTGTTGTGTGAAATTTTAAGAGGTTCCCTTTAAAAAGTACGTTGTGAATACGGAACTTCTGGGGCTTTCCACTTGGTTGCATCGCTTCGTTTGAAAAGGCAGGAAAAATTTAATTTTTTCATATGGCTTTCCAGGGCATAATTAAATTATACCCCAGGATTATTTTTGTGCATCTCCTTGTGGGGAAAAATAAGGCTGAGGAAACCTGTGCAGCGGAAAATCGTTTGTCACTCTTCGTCGGCGGACTGATGCTTTCGTTCCTGACGTTCCTTTGACTTTATGCCGCCTTTATGCTTTTGCAACATTCGGTTTTTGTTTTTGACACTCTCTGTCTGCGGGCTTCAGTTATCTTTTTGGTTTTTTTGTATCAAATATATTTATTACGTTTTTTTTTGTCACTTCAAAGAGCATAATTTGTGATGACCCTGGGGAAAGGCTTTTCATTCGATGAACTTTGAGGTTTTTGAAGCTCTTTAAATTCAACTTTTAAACGTCATTTCCACATCACACAATTATTTGTAAGAAACTCAGACCTTGGGGAGTTTCAACTCGAAAATAATCTTCCACTTCAGACCCAATTAGGAGAATCATTTTTCTTTTTTTAACCGAACCCTTTGACTTTTGACTTATTGTTTTCCATTTTTGCTTGTCCTAATTTTTTCCTTTTGAAGAAGCACTTAACAATTTTTTCGTCATCAGGGGAAGTTATCATAACATTTTAAATTAATTGGATATTATAATTAGATAACTTTAGAAGGGAAAACCATTATAAAAATTGTATTTAAATTTTTTTCTTCTTTTTGAAGGGAATATATTTTGCCACATTTTTTAGTTTTATAGCCCAACCCCTTAACTTATTGTTTTCCATTTTCATTTTAACTTTTAAATTTTTTGTTCGTAAATTTACTTGTTAATACTTTAAAGCTAAATTCAAAAGGAAAAACTATTTTAATATGACTTTGATTTATTTATATATGTTTTTGGTGACCTATATTTTATTTAGCATTTTTGTTTTGACCCTTACTAATTTTCCTCTTTATCTTTTCGATGGGGAATATTTTCCCCTCCTATTGTCGTTTTTTTGTTTTCAAAGCTCGAAGATTATTTTAGCTGTTGACCAGCTCTCGCTTTTTGTTTTGTTTTGGTTATGATATAAACTTTTGCACGGCTCTTTTGTGGGCTGAACGCCCACGTTTTAGCATTTGTAAATCAAGCGAGAGAGGAGACAAGTTTATCGTGGCCTTTTCGGTGGCAGCTGCTCCCACTCCCAGGGATGCGAAGTCCGCCAGGGATTGAAGTTTATTCGAGTGACTTTTATATTCCGTTTGGTATTTCGTACTTCGTATTTTTGGCACATTTATTGGGGTTCCATGCACTGCAACGCGTGATCCACTCCAGACTTTTGCGAGTGGGCGTAATTAACACACGAAGCCACGAAGCCATAACGCAGACCCCGCGGGCCAAAGGTCACAGTCGAAGCCCATAGACAAGAGCTGCTGATTAATTGATTTTATATCGAGAACAATTTCCCGCGGCGCCTTTCGTCTGTTTTTCGCAACGGAATCGGAAGCCAAACTGCAAAGGATGCCGCGTGCAATTTATCAGCCAACTTCCAATTAACACTTCGCCTTTTTCTCGCCCAACTTTTCCAGGTTGCGAAGTCGCTTTCCGCTTCACCAGGTAAAAGGCTCTGAAAAGGAAAATGATATGAAAACGGCAATGCAATCAGGACAAGTGAGTACTTTAACATGGAGTACGACAGCCAATTAGCTTAATTAATGTCTCTGTTTTTCTCAATAAAGAGAAAATTGAAGAAGAAAAATAAAGTTGCGAGAAAAGTTGCTAGATTAAGTAATACAAAATGAGAGTAAAAATTATAAGAATGTTAATTCGTTGAAATGTGTTGCCCATAAAGATTTTTTTTCGGGTTTCATTGATATAATTTTCAATTAAACGAGGACTTTTTTATAGCTCTTTTGAAGATAACTTTATAAGATAAACTCTATTATAAAAGCAAAACAGTATTCAATATTATAAAAAAATACTCAGTAAATTGAATGGCTTATTATGGATTATTTACCTCAGACAAATATTTTGGAATCATTTTTAAAGGTGTCAAAAAGTAGGCAATAAAAAAGAAAATATTTTGTGATTTTTAAATGATTTCAAATTCATATTGTTTTCATTGCCAATACTATTCAATAAATACAAAAGCGAGTACACAAATAAACCAGAGGCTCAATTGTAAAACCGAGTTCATGTCTGGACACAAACTATCAACACTAACTTGATCCCATCTACCCATCGGCAGTAAGCCTCCCCAAATATTTACTCCTCTCTCGTTCTGTACGAAATGGAAACGTTTATTTGCTAAGCTTAGATAACAACAAGTGCGACCAAAGTCGTTAGTTTATGTACAAAATGCCAATACCAAATACAAACTGCACTCGAGGGCCCGAAAACTAAAAAACCAACTCATTCTGGGTTATTGCCAATCTAACTGCAGTGGCACTTTTAGTTTTCAGTTTGGTTCAGACTGGATTGGATGTGAATGGGATGGGCTGGAGGGTTAGGAGTCCAAAAAGTGGGTGTTAACTCAGTTACCAACAGCCCTGCATGAGACCCAACTGCTGGATGGCCCCGCAGCCAACGCGATTCTGCATGTAATCGGGGAAATTGCTCTGCAGCACTCGCATCGTATTGCGCTTGTAATCGGGCACCGCATGGGTCACCAGCTGACAGGTTTGGCTGCGGTAAACTGGCTTAAAGTTCGCCTCCGCAAAAGTGGAGTTCGTGTCCCAGCGGTAGACCTCCGCGTCGCCCTCGTTCCGGAAGAAAATCGCCGAGCCATTGTCCGTGCCAATGATGACCATGCGACTGGGCTTCTTGCCGAGATCTGCAGAAAAAACAAATTAAATTAATAAAAATTCCAAATTAATGCATAAATTAATAAAAATACAATGTAAAAAAATATAAATATAAATGTAATATATTCTAAACAATATTACAAAAGTATTCGCTCTGATGGTAGATCTTTATTTTAAAAGAAAGTTCTTTAATTTAGTAAGTTTACTATTTCTTGAAATAAATTTTTTTTTTACTTTTAGAAAAAAACTTTACATTGCGGGATGTAAAAAATATATATAAAAATTCTACATAAAAATTGTTAAAAAAAAATTGTTTAGATCTTCAAATATTTTTTCATTAAACAAATAATTGCTTTGTGATTTCTTTTCTTTTACATACTGGTTTAAAATATAGTTTATTCCGATAATATTATTTAGTATTTTAAAATAAGCAAATCAAACTCACCCAAAATGCGTCCATCGGCCACTCCACTGCGCAGATACTCGGATTTCAGGGAGAACAGCTTGCTGGTGCTCAGGTATGTAAAGTAGAGCTCAGTGGTGCCGCAATCCCTGCGAATGAGCGCAATGTAGAGGACATCCCTCGAACGACAGCCGGCGGTAACTGCCTTGGGCAGGACCACCCTGAATCCTCGATCCGCTTGCAGGTTATAGACGATAATGGCCCGATTGGCGGCATCGCTGACATAGACAAAGCATCCACCATCGGGGGCGTAGTCCACCACGAGATATTGGAGTCGCGAACTACTGGAAGTTAAGCCCTCCAAAGAGACAGTTTTCAGCACTTTTCCCGTCTTCACCGACATGGCCACCACTTTGGGTGGACATTTGCGAACCGGGGTTTCCAGGGTATTGACTATTCCGGTGTCCAAAACCCAGAGAACCTCATTTTGATCCACCACCAGATCCACCACTGATTGCAGAGCCTTGCAGTTGCCCTCCTCCTGGAGATCCCAGCAGGGATATGGCTTAAACGTCGTAGAACAGGTACCAGGTTTCACATTTGTTTTAACCAAAGTGGCTGGAACTCCTTTCCGATATCTTGGCAATGCCAAATATATGGTATCTCCGATCAGCTGAGCCCTCGTCGCAATCACATTCTTGGGTATAAACTTCCCAGAGCTCTTGAACAGCGACTTTGTGCTGGCGCAGGGAAACTCAAACTGTCCACCAGTCCACTGAATGGGCTGCGAATCGGAATGGGCTCGATCTGGAGTCCACAATCCATACTTGGTGCCCTGCGAGCGAGCCAAGTTGGCCAGCCAAAATCCCAGGATTAGGGCCAAAAACACTTTCATTGTGGCGGCAATTAATTCTCTTAATAATAATAATAGTCTATTCTAGCGACGACGTGCGCGATGTGTGCTCCCCAAATTGGCCAAGTGGCGTGCTTATATAACCCAAAAACCCCCCAAAGAATCGAATGACCACAAAACCGGCAACGTGCCTCGCGACCAATTCTCAATTTTCAAACTGAAACTGATTTTTTCAGCCAGCCAAATAACCTTGACCAAAGCTTACCCACAAAAAAGAGGGTAAAAAGCAATTAAAGTTCAAAAAGTATTTTATTTCATCTTTGACTTTTGTTATTAATTTATTGACATTTTAATTGAATGAAAGAATATTTAAAGAAAACATTTAGAAAAATCATAAGAACAAGATTTAAATATAAAAAGTACTTTCCGGGAATATACAAAAATTTTCATTGATTTTTATAACTTTTTGAACAAATGCTTTTAATTTAAGTAATTATATTAATATGTACAATTTTTTTTATTAATTCCGAATAAATAGGGAATTTTATAAGCCAATTACAAATGTTTTTTGGTGCATTAAATCCCATAAAATATATTAAAACATTATTTTGGTTCAGCAATTAACTCTTTCAATAAATCACATAACTATCTAATTAAATTTCTATTTATTTCCCGGTCAGAAACCACAGGAATTTTCCAAGAAAATCTAAGCGACCAAGGAAAAGGGATTCCTTCATTCCTTTCTCCGCCCCAATTAACCAATTGACTTTCGCAATGGCATTGCAATTACTGCAATCAATTGAAAGGGGAATCCCTACAAGTGTCACCAGATTGCCCGAGATATTTTTAGAAAATTAATTGCCATTAATAAAATGACCTCAGACTGTGATTTTCAGTCAGCCAACCATAAATTGGCCAAGAGAAGTAGAGAAGTAAGAGAGTAAAATCCCTGCATCCTTGGGATTTCCCCACTGAATTTCTCAGCCATTTCCATCAACGTAATTGCCCCTAAATAGGTTAAAGCCCTCGATATGGGCAGACAACCCGGAATCGCCCCAAACCAAAAACCAACGTGTTTGGCATGTTAAATTGTCAGCCGAAGCCCGCATTCCGGTTGGCTTTTCCCCATGTTTTCCCCCACGCCGAATGATTTATACGAGTCTTACATACACGCAGAGAACAAAAAATTGATGACAAGCATTTCCGGGGCTACTCATCTGACATAATTTATGTAAACACTTACCTCCAGCAAAAAAAGAAGCAACGGGGGAAATATTTGGGGGTAGATAAGAGACAGCCAGGCGACTGCCGGACTGACCCCCATTAGCTGGGGAAAAACCAAACCCAATCCTCGGGAAAACCATACCCAGCTTACCCTCAGGCCATTTTCCACACATTATATTGACAGTTTTCTTTATTTTATGGCCCGTTTAACGAGGCGTATGCGTCATGTGCGACTTCTTTAAAAACAGGCTGAAAAGTTTACCTTTTTATATGTGTGTTTGTATGCCAATAAAAATCCAATTGAAAACGCAAATAAGCCAATAATTTGTCGGGAGCAGAGGAAAGAAGAAAAATGTGAAATAAAGAATTGTCTGTGGTCACGTTTGATTTGCTTTGGTAAATGGGCCGACTTTTTGCTGAGGAAAGCGATTTTCTTTTACCGGGAATTTCTCATAAATTAAAAACAAAACTTCTTTCAAACTTCTTTTGGATAAGCTGCTTTGTAGTGTGGGTAAAAGCTTAAAAGATTTTCAGTAGTTTGCGATTTAAATTTAAAATAAATGTGCTAAATAAATATTCCATTTTGTTTAACCTTCAGTTAGTTAAAGTTTTCAGAGGCTAAACCAAACCCCTATCGTCTTGAATCAAAATCATTAATATTAGATATTTTAATTCAAACACAAATATGATAATTACATTTTAATAAACTTACGTTAGTCAAAAAGGCATTACACTTAAAACAGGGGAATTTAACCCCCAGTTAGTAAAAGTTTTCAGACACTAACCCAAACTCGCACAGTTTTAAGTCAAATTCAAATTACATGGCTTATTGCGGTTACTACAGGGTATTAAAAAGTCATCATCTGGCGATTAGCATTAATCTTTCCATACATTTCGCTGCTTTCGCCTAATTTATGTGCTTTGCTTTCACTTTGCTGGCTTTCTTTCGTCGGCCAACTTTTTGTTTACGTCTGCTTAAAGTTGTCCACTGTGGTTCTTAACCTTTTGCCGGAGCGCAAATGGTTCGATGAATTGCCATAAATTAGTGCCTTTATCCGGTGGCTCATCTTTGTTTAATTGTTTTGCAATAATTGAATTCATTTGGTTGGTTTCATCTCTGACTCGCCGGCAAATTGCTCTTGGCAGCTGGCTGCATATTGAATACTCACTTTTTTTATTCGCAAAAACATTGCAATCAATGAACATTTTTAAATTCCCCATTTATACGCATCTGTCAAAAACAGGGGAAAAATATTTCCAAGTGAGTGAGAAATGAAAATAGAAATACCCTTACTGTAATACAAAAATATTTAAAATATTGTATATTAAATATACAAAAATTGGTAAATATTTTGTTTATAAATATATATGAAATAAATATTTTTTAACCATTTTATTAAATATTAATAAAAAAGGAAATATTTAAAATTATTTTTAGTACTGTTATTATTATTTTTATTTATGTTATGTTATTATTATTTATGTTATTATTATTATTATTTTATTTTAAAATTGTAAGTGAAAAGATTATTTAAAAAAAAATTAAAAGGGAGCAACATTATTTAATAAACTTTTTCTGAAGAGTATACAATTCTTAGTCGTGTGCCTCGTTAAATTTCCATTTTGATATTTTTGCTTTTATTTATGCTGGAGCACATAAATATTTATCTACAGATTCAACGGAGATGTTGCCCCAACTGACTGACAATCCCGCCCACATAATATATCACATACAAAAATATATATATCAGCATGGATTTTTGGGCATGTGTGTGCTATAAATTCGGGGATTACGATCGGAGGAGAGGAGGAGGCCAACTTATGGCAGTTTATTGAAACGGATTTCACAAAAATTCAATCTGCATGTAATTTGGCATTATAGACAGTCCCTGACCCTGAATCATCCTTATACCCATCCCCCCAATCCGGAAAAGGGTTATCAAAATATGTGTTGACCAGCCGCTGGTCATTTTCTGTGTGTTGCTTTAAGGAGATTAAACATTTTGGCCATTTAATGGAAGTGGAAGCCAAGTGGTGGCCATAATTCGATGCACGTGCTGCTCCAGCTTCACAAAAAAGAAACCAGAAGACGCAGGACAAACAAAGGACTCACTGGACACCGAAGAATCCTTCCTCCTCTCCGCCCACTCAAATGTGTCAAAGCATTTTTTATTATTTGTTATTATTCGAAGCGTGGGTTTTCTTTACGAGTTCATTGTCCATATGTCTGGCGGACTGGCGCGCACCTTTAATGTAATCCCCCTCTAAAAACCGCCTAAATCCACAAAGAGCTATTTAAGATGATAATAAAAAAAATATGTAGAAAAAAAGTTTAGTTCCAGGGGGCACCCGGATTTGAACCGGGGACCTCTCGATCTGCAGTCGAATGCTCTACCCCTGAGCTATACCCCCGACTTGATTTTGCTGAACTCGGAGCGCCTTATAAACTTCGATGACTAAGATAAAATTTCGCCTTTGCAATTTATCTTAAAATAGAAATGAAATAAAAATCAATTTAAGACTCCAAGTGTTTATGAATTGTTTAGCGAGAAACGAGAAACTCTTTGTGTGATTCACCATTGATTCTCTCTAGTATATTGCAATCTTATCAGCGAATAATATGCCCCCATATCATCCCCCCAACTTTCTCCTTTTGGCACCCCAACTTCTCTTTGCCAACTGATAGCTGCAGGCGGGCTGACAGATGTTTTTGTCAGCCTCGAAATAGCTGGTAACACAAGCCAAGTAACCGAAACTTTCTTGGTAAGAGAAACAGAAACTCAGATACAGGTCACAGACGTCAGCATTGATATTGAACTTTTGGGCCACTTTGGCAACTGTTTCGCATTGACCCCTGAACTTTGCCTGCCAAAGGGTGAAAACTTGGGCTCCCTTCGAATGCACAAACGATCGATGGGTGACAGAAGCAATTTCTATATTTTAACCCATTTTATTGAACGGGGTAAAATATACCAATTAGGTAGCTATAAAAATCTAAACTAATCTTAACCAGAAAAAAATTTAAACTATTTTTTTTTAATTAAAATATGTTAGATTTTAACATTTTTGATAATATAAAATATATATAGCTTAATAATATTTTCAATTTATTAAATTGAAAACTGCTTTAATATTATTTTAAATATTAATAAAGGGTAAATTAAAAATTTTAACTCTAAACGAATTTAAATTCTGCCGAATTTCGGCATTGCTAAGAAATAAATAGTAAATGCTTGAATGTTATTTTAGATATTAATAAATGGTAAATTCAAAATTAGATAATAATTATGTACCTATAATATTTAATTTAAAATGTTCTACTTATTTCTTTCTAAAAAGAATTAAATATAAATAAAACAATCAACGAGTGGGGTTAAATTGGAGACTCTTTTCCGCCCCGCATTTCCGCATTGCTTAGAAACCGAGAGCAGAATCTGGCTTAGAGGTCTGGCCGATTTCCGGCGTAAGCCAGACGTGCTGGCTGGTTGGTAACCATTCCATTTGGCCATTTCCATTTCCAGACAGCCACTTGTTTTCCCCCGTGTTTACCAGCTCTTCTAACGACCTTGCTGCAACACGCTCTTTGGAGATTGCTGCACAAATCGCCGGCTTTTAAATATAAATGCAAGTCTTTCGGCCGTTCAGACAGTTTTATGTTCTGGCCAAACGTGGTTAATCGAGTGTTGGATCTGTGTTTTTTGTATCCCATAAATCCTTTAAAAAAACAGCCCAGAAAATGTGGCAGCTGCAATTGCTGCTTGTTGTAGTTTCCGCCTCCTTGGTTTTCGGAGGCTACAGTTCCTCCACCGATGAGGCTGGCTCCACAGATGCCTCCAATTCGGTTGGTGGCTCCAAGTGTGATAAAAATCCCCTGAGTGAACTGACATTCCAGCTGAGTGGCAGTAGCCTCCACTGGCCCTGTGAGTCCACCAAGAATATCTATGTCCAGTCGGGGAGATATGTGCCCAGGAATATTATAGTGACCCGTGCCCAACTGCAAAGGGATTCGGCTTTTGTAGCCCTGCCCCGGTACAAACAGGGCGTACCCTTCACCCTCGGCAAGGTCAATCTGAAGAAGGGCGAGTGTTTGACCAAGATCGCCCCCTATCCTTGCTGGGCCATCCAGGAGGAGGGCAACTGCCAGGCCCTTCAATCCGTCGTGGACATAGCTGTCGATCAGAATGTGAGTGCAATTAACGCCTATATTGTTTCGGGTTTTTATTTTTATTGGGGAGTCTCTTCCGAACTGCAATTTCTGCCTTTAATTACGGATTGCTATTTTTTCGGGGGCAGCCACTTCATGGCACTTTTGATGGGCAGCCTCTTGATGGCTTTTAAATGCTTTTTTCATATTTTTATCGTGGGCGGAAAAAAGGGTAGCAAAGGTGATATTTTTCATAAAATAAGTAATTTTTAAATATATAAATTTTAAAGTATTCTTAAAAGGTTTCCTTTCTTGAAAAATTTAAAAAAAAATTAAATATTGAACTTATAGGTTATTTAAAATATTTAAAAGGAAAATACGTTTCTTTTTATACCCGTTACTCGTAGAGTAAAAGGGTATACTAGATTCGTGCAAAAGTATGTAACAGGTAGAAGGAAGCGTTTCCGACCCTATAAACTATATATATTCTTGATCAGGATCACTAGCCGAGTCGATCTAGCCATGTCCGTCTGTCCGTCTGTCCGTCTGTCTGTCCGTCTGTCCGTCTGTCCGTCTGTCTGTCTGTATGAACGCTGAGATCTCGGAAACTATAAAAGCTAGAAGATTGACATTTTGCATGCAGATTCTAGGAGTTCCTACGCAGCGCATGTTTGTTTCAAAAGGGTGCCACGCCCCCTCTAACGCCCACAATCGCTTATATACGATTTTAAAAATTTCAATATTTCGGAAAAGTAAAAATGCAGTTTTATGGTGTTTATCAATACCTATCATCAAAGTTTTTATCTCCTTCGCACTTTAGCTGAGTAACGGGTATCTGATAGTCGGGGCACCCGACTATAGCGTTCTCTCTTGTTTGTAAACTATTATGATTTTTAATGGTCTGTTATTTTTTCGATATATATCAAATTTATTAAGAAGTAGATTTTTATCAAAAATAAAATTAAGAATAATGTTTTTTATATTTTTTAAAAGTTGGTCTGCATTTTAGGGTATTTCCTCTCCCTTAACCCTTTAGCACGTCACTATTTTTAACTGCCCATCCTCGCTGACGACTACCAAAAATTGCTTTTTTAATCAAATAAAGGGGGGCAGCAAAAACGAAGAGCTTCAAATAAAATTCATGTCTGGCAATTGGCGGCGGCCACTGAACAGAAAGAATAAACGGATAAAAGGGTGAAAAAGTGGTTATGTAAATGGAATATTATAAAAGGTCAGAGGGCAAAGGGCTGCAGCTGAAAAGTGCCATGAAAATGCAGTGGAAAGTTCTCAGAAATAAGTTGAGTTTCATAGGAAATGACAGACGATTTTGTGTGTATTTCTTTGGCAATTTTAAAATTTGATGACTGTCAGATTAATTTAAATGATAAATATTCCAGTCAACGGATATTGTAAAATATTTACATGTTTATTTATTGAAAACCACACACAAATGACCTACTTACGATGCCCAGCATAAATGCAACTTAATAATTTCCTTCAATTATTGCAGCCGTCAATTCGTTCTCATTTAAATGCCATTCTCGTTTAGCTGCATTTATGCAAATCATTTCTTTATTTTATTTACACAAAAGTCGACACGACAATAACAATAACAATAGCAAACAGCAAACACACAGAAAACGCAACTGTATTTATTTATTTATTTGCGCAATTTTCCATTCAGTGCTTTTCGCTGATATTCATTTTGTTGTACGAGTGCGGAATTTTTAACGCCAACAACATTTCAATTAACAGCCGGCAAATGAAAACATTAAGAACAATGAATATAAGCCGCAATTGATAGCAATTAATAATGGTTTGTATTTGTATCTTTTTTTAAAGGGACTTCTTTGGGCCTTGGATGTGGGCATTGTCAACACTTTGGAGCAGCCCATCAGGAGATGCAGCCCCAAGATCGTGGCCATAAACACGGCCAACAACAAGGTGGTCAAGAGCATCGACCTCAGCGACCTAGTCACCTCCGAAAGTCGCCTGCAGTTCATCGTGGTCGACTACTCCAAGGACAATAAGCCATTCGTGTGAGTTTTATTATTACTGTCCATTCAATTTCGTTTTTTTATTAGGGAATTTTATGAAAGAGTCTCTCACCTTTATTACACATTTATGCATTTGAATTAAAGCTTCAGTTGCAAGGCCATTCATCTGAAAAATGAGTTTGAATAATTTATTTGTACCTGCATAATCTTTTGCCCATGACTCAACTGTGAAATTATTATTTAATATTTTAATTAATATTTATGATTAACTTTCAACCACTAAAAAATATTAAAAATTAAATTGTTATATTTAAAATACTAAATATAACTTTAAAGATTTTTTAATTTTAAATTTAAAGGCTTACTAAAAAATTTAATAAAACTCTAAAAATATAAAATATTAATTAAATATTTTAGAGGTTGAACCACTATAGTTATTTAAATAGTTTAATAAAATATAAAAGAATTCAGTTTTACAATAAAGTTTAAAAGATTTCCATTTTTCAATTTTAAAATAAAAGCATTAGTAGAAATTTAATAAAAATACCAAAAATATATAATTATTAGAATAATTTATAAAATTATTATAGATATCCATTTAACAATTATAAAATAAATACAAAAAACTTGATAAAATATTGCAAATATACAAAGTTATATAAAATATTATCATATAGATACATCCAAAATTCAAGAACAAATTAATCAATACTAAAATGTAGAAAACCAATTAAAAAGGAATTAACCACTTAGAAACCTCCTATCTTATCTACATAACATAGTAATCAGAAGTGTGCCTCACTCCTAACTTTTTTCCAGCCAATTAAAAATGAATTAGTCGCATAATATCTTATCTCATCTTACTGACTATTATTATTCTTTCCCTCATATCCCACAGCTATGTGGCTGATGCCGGAGCACGCAGCATCCTGGTTTACGACATCACGGGCAACAAGTCCTACCGCATTGTCCTGCCAAAGGCGACCGCTCCCACAAGCGATGTCCTGTACGTGGCCCTCACCTCCAAACCGGATGGAACCTCCACCCTATTCTTCAGCTACCTGAGCTCCCCACGTCTGTATTCCATTAAGGGTGAATACTTAAGAGTGGGTCAGGGCGCCGGTTCCATCATCGATGTGGGTCCCAAGCCCTATGGAAAACAGGCTGTTCTCTTGGGAGCCGATGGGGGAACCTCCCTGTTCTTCCGCTACAAGGGCGAAAATGATATTTACCTGTGGGACTCGGAGACCTGCTTCAAAGCCGCCAATCTGCAGGAGGTTCAGCGGGGTGGCGACTGCCGCCTGTCCACTCAGGTTCTGCCGGGTCACAAGCGCTTCATGTGGGCACTGGAGAGCAACTTCCACGACTTCATCTCGGATCGAACGGGCTGCAATGGAGCCTCCATTGTCCTCCATCCTGTTGTTAAGGAGTGCGACGATTAAATCGAGTTAGCCCTAATTTTTTATGCTTAAGATTATAAAGAATTGTTGTCGTTATTGGGTCTTATTAAAATTTGGTCAATGTTTTAAATTTTAAAAGTGTCTGGGAATTTATTTTGGTTATTAACACATAATATATTCGATTGCATGGAGGTAATTTCAACTTGAAAATTATTTGTAATTTTTTAAACATTTTATGGACTACCTTTAAAAAACTTAAAAAATAGTGCAAATTGAAATCAATTGAAATTCGGTCATTCAGGATTTTTAGATATAACCTACGTACTGTTTAAAAACATTTTCCATTTATGAGAAGTTTTTTGCTAACTCGAGTCCGAGTGCAGAAAAGTCGACAAAAACTAAGAAAATATAATGTTTTCTTTTAATGAAAAATTGATTTTTTTAAATATTTAGTTGTCAAAATCATAGAAAAAATATCGTTTTTAGTTTTAAATAATATATCCCTTCTAAAATTTTTGACATATAATATGGAACGGGTAATGATTTATTTAATTTTCGTGTAACTTATTTGCGAATTATTGTTTTATATTACAATCCCATTATAAAATCAAATCGATATCCCAAAAATTAGTACTATTAAAATTATCATCGTAGACATTTTTTATTTTATTATCTCATCCACTTTAAAACTTTTCACACACCAATTTCTCATCACTAAAATACTGTCCCTCTGGACAGTTGTAGATCTGCAATTGGTGATCGATGCAAATGCAGTACTCATCCTTGGCGTTGCTACCAGGACAGCTGAGGACCTCAAAGTCCTGGCACTGATGGACTCTATCAGTCACGCAAGTTAGGATCTTGGGATCAACGTAGAAACCAGTTGTGCAGTTAATAACCTGCAGTTCTCCATCGACGCACTTGCAGTACTCCCGCTCGGAATTTCGGAAGGGACATTCGTATCGGTCGTTATTATAGCAGTTCTTCGGTTCCTCAATTAGTAATTCCCTGTTCTGAAAACGAGATGCAGGAACACAACTGTAACTGTTGAAAACGAAACCCTCGCGGCACTTCATCATCAAAGGATAGAGATCAGTGTTGGTGGAATCATTTACGCAGACGTAGAAGAACCGATTGTCCGCCAACCAACCACCAACTTGTCCGGATCTTTCGCAGGTGAACTGCTCCTTGGTGCACTGATCACTTTCGCGGGGCAGGACACATGAATCCGAGAGAGTGGAGTAACCAGCTCCATTGGAACAGAGACGCGGGGTCTCCACACTCTGATCGCTGCACTCGTGATACTTTCGGCAATCGTAAGGATCTGGGAATACTCCCTCCTGCTGGCAGTTGAAAGGACCCCTTTTGGGCACCCTGCACTCCGATTGCCAGGTGCATCCGAAGGTTCCCTCGTCGCTGCAGAAGAAACTGTGATCGGACTCACAGCCCAACATCTTTACGGTTTCCCATTTTCCAGTGGCATCGCGAAGACAATAACCCAAAGTGGTGCAGTTGAGGCAAACGAAGCCTGGGAGCCGCACATCCTGGCAAGGATTATCGTCGGCTTTGGAGGATCCGATTGCCAAAGCAAGCAGGAGTAGAAAAAACGAGTAAGAAGACCTCATCACAAAGACTGTTGATTTAGTTCATGAGTGGCCAAACTTTTATAGCAACTTTATAGCAACTTCTAATCAGACTGACAAATGTCTTTCACTTAATTAAATAGATAAGCTCTTCAAAGGTCTAAAAAGCATTATCACGTTGGTAAAGTACCGAATATTACGACCTAGAATTCTAGGAAAATTACTAATATTTACTTATTTTAACCCACTAGGATGAAAAGTGATCGGAAATAGGGTATTCAAAAAGTATGCAACTTAAATTTTGTGAAATAATCCATTTTATTTAAAGACATGTTATAAGAATTTTTTAATAAGTTAATAAGTTTAACAAGTTCCTGCAACGCAGCTAAAAGAAGTCAAACTGAAGATGGTTCCTGCAGAGCATTTGCAATACTTAATATCACTGCCCTTATCTTGGCAAGTATAGTATCCTGCGCAGTCCGAAGGATCCCCAAACAACCCAGATCTCTGACATTTTTTAGAAGAAGGTTCTGATTCGGGAATATCATCGTCATCAATACAAGTTCCAAGTTTGTCATCAAAGATAGTTCCAGTTTGACAGTAATGCTGATACAATTTTCCATCCTGGCAGTAGCAAAAGATATCTTTTGCAGTGTTATAGGGACACACAAATGCGTCATAATCCCTCTGGCACTGCTCCACTGTTACTAATATACAAGCCAATAGATCGGCATCGAAGTAGGCTCCTTTGGGACATTTCAAGATCCCAAGATATTTGTTCTGGCACACGCAAAACTCATCCAGATCTGTATTTGTGGGACATTTACTAGAACTGTAGTCGGTACAGCTATAAATATCCGTAGAGACGCAGATTTGGAGTGTATCATTAAAGTAGAAACCATTTGGACAAGAGTGATACTCCTTGGAATTAACCTCTTTGGAGATATCAAATCCTTTTCCCACTTGAAAAGACAGAAAAACTAAGAGGAAACCAAACTGTAGAGCTGACTTCATAATGAAAACTTTTTAAACAAGGGCCATTGCACTCTTCCTTATATAGGGGCAGATAATCAGGCGGAGAATGTTTCGCCATAATTAATAGATAAACTGCAAAATATAAACAAGAAATTGTACAATCTAATTGAAGTTTATGATTTTCAAAGCAATTTTAACTTTTCATGAAAATTAGATAAAGACCATATTTATTGTGTCCATGCGGGGCTGATTTCACGATTTTGTTTCGCGATTTTAGCCGATTCTTGTGTGCATAAAGGCCATTTCGTGAATTCGGCAAAACACGAAAGTTGTCTTTGATTTCAGACTCAAAGCGAATTTTATATACTTTCTAAAAAAGTAATACATTTTATTTCAACATATTCTAGTTATAAGAAGTACCGAATATTAAAGTAATCCAATTTATTTTAACACATTCTAGTTGTAATAGTTAATTATAATCAACAAGTTCCTGCAACGCAGCCAAAAGAAGTCAAACTGAAAATGGTTCCTCCAGAGCATTTGGAATGCTGAATATCACTGCCCTTATCTCGGCAGTGATAGTATCCTGCGCAGTCCGAAGGATCCCCAAATAACCCATATCTCTGACATTTTTCAGAAGAGGGTTTCGAATCGGGTATATCATCGTCATCAGTTCCGGTCTTCAAGCAAAGTTTTTGATCGGTATTAAAGATAGATCCCGTTGGACAGTAATTCTGATGCAATTTTCCATCGATGCAGAGGCAAAAGGTATCGTTAGTAGAGTTATAAATATCTGTAGGACACACAAATGGATTGTAATCCTCCTGGCACTCCACTGTTCCAATTCTACAAATCAATCGATTGGAATCAAAGTAGGTTCCTTCGGGACATTTCCAGATCTGAAGGTATTTATTTAGGCACAAACAATACTCATCCACATCAGTAGTTATGGGGCATTTACCAATCTGGTAATTAGTACAGTTGGTAATGTCTGTAGAAATGCAGGTTTGGATTGTTTCATTAAAGTAGAAAGTATCTGGACAGGATTGATTCTCGTCATCCAGTCGAAGCTCCTTGGAATTAACCTTTTCGAAGGTTTCAATTCCTTTTCCCACATGAAAAGACAGAAAAAGTAAGAGAAACCCAAACTGTGGAGCTGACTTCATATTGAAAACTGTTTTAAATGAGGTCCATTGCACTCTTTCTTATATAGGAGGAGATAATCAGGCGGAGAATGTTTCGCCATAATTAAAAGATAAACTGCAGAAAAGTAACATTGTACATTCTAATAGAAGTTTATGACCTTGTCGAAGCAATTTTAGCTTCACTTCTTCTGAAATGCATTTTTTTTGGTCTTCAAGAAAATTAGATAAAGGCTACCTTGTTAGCTTACAGTATTTAATAATCAATTTTATACGGACAAAAAAAACAGGTGTAATTATACCCGTTACTCGTAGAGTAAAAGGGTATATTGTATTCGTGCAAAAGTATGTAACAGGTAGAAGGAAGCGTTTCCGACCCCATAAAGTATATATATTCTTGATCAGGATCACTAGCCGAGTCGATCTAGCCATGTCCGTCTGTCCGTCTGTCCGTCTGTCTGTCTGTCTGTCTGTCCGTCTGTCCGTATGAACGCTGAGATCTCGGAAACTATAGAAGCTAGAAGATTGGCATTTTGCATGCAGATTCTAGGAATTCCTACGCAGCGCAAGTTTGTTTCAAAATGGTGCCACGCCCCCTCTAACGCCCACCATCGCTTATATACGATTTTAAAAATTTTAATATTTTGGAAAAGTAAAAATGCAGTTTTATTGTGTTTATCAATACCTATCGAAATGTAGAAGAAATTTTTCAAATCGGACCATTCGTTAAAAAGTTATGCGTGATCAACGTTTTCTATCTCTATCTCCATCTCCCTCGCACTCCCTTTACCTGAGTAACGGGTATCTGATAGTCGGGGCATCCGACTATAACGTTCCCTCTTGTTTTTTTTTAAGCCTTAACTTATAAGAAATAAAATTTTGAGATGAATCTCGAACAAAACTATTCTATCTAGATATTAGACAATATTTTTGAAAAATATAACCACTTGGGCACTCATTCCGGTACAATTTTCCATCGATGCAAAGGCAAAATTCATAATTTGTCGTTGGGTCAGGACATTTAAATGGTTAGTATTCGTCCTGGCACATTAATTTTTCAAAAGTTAGCTTTAATTATAACTAAACTTCGGATAAAAAGATTTTGAGATACTTTAATGGTATCAATTTTTTTTAATAATATTTAATTATGACCCATATTTAATTAACCTTTAGTAATAAAATACATGAAAGCCAACTCTTTTTGTCATTCTTTTGACTATATATTTTATTTATTTATAAGTTATAAGGTTTCTCTATAGAAGAACGAATAAAATACAATTCACCATCCACCTCAGCAAGTTCCCAGGACGCAGGAGGACGACTCAGGTCGGTAGTAGGTTCCCTGTGGACAGTCCATGTGCCTCAAAGTACCATTTAGAGCTGAACAGTAATAGTACTTTCTGCAATCATCACCATCGGCAATCAAACCCACGTGCTGGCATGTATTTGGCACCACAGAGAAGTCCGCATCATTGGGATCCTCTATAATCACCGAAGGATCATCAGTATTCGGCAAACTATTCGATCCACTTCGGCACACATAATCCACAAAAGTTTCGCCATCATTACAACGATGAAGTGAGGGGTAGATGACTATTGTATCATTCAAGTTCTGATTAACCGTCGACTTGCAGACGTAGAAAATATTGGGGTTAGTGGGCCAGGGGGCTACGTGGCCGGCATTGGGGCAGTAGTACTGTCGCTGCAGGCAGACCGTATCACTTAGGGTCAAAGTGCATTGACCGGTCCTCGCATCGAAGGCTCTATCATTGCCACAATCCACGGCAGCTGCAACGAGAGTAGCGCCCACAAAGTAGCACATGTGATACTTCTGGCAATCGTAGGGATCGGGGAAAATTCCCTGCGAAGTGCACTGGAAATTGCCCTCGATTCCGAAGGGATGGCATGGTCCAGTTTCATTGGTGCAGCTTCCCAGCCGCGCATTGCAGTAGTAGCCATTGGCCACATCGCAGGATTCCACTGGTATATTAACCCATCCGTTCGAGTGACGCACACACGTGGCCAGCAGTTCGCAGGACTCGCAGATGGGCCCCGGACTCTGGCGACCTTCGCAGGAGTTCGTCTCGCGCGGCTGAATGCGTCGCACGGTCACAGTGGCTCCCATTAAAAAGGACACCAGGCTGAGCATAAGCTATAAAATTGGTAAATAAAATGAAATAAGGTTATAAAATAAATTACAATAAATAAAATTGTAGTAAAAATAATAACCAAACAAATAAAAAATTAATTATATTTTTTTTCAACCAAAATAGTATACATTTTGGGAATTCTCTATGGATCTTTCTTAATTTGAACAAAGATTTCTAATATTTGTTGAATTAATTAAGTTTATATTTCATATTAAATTGAAGGCATATTTTCTAAAATTTTGATAAGATTAGCATTAACTCCAAATCAATGAGAATTTCTAAAATTTAGAGCGAAATTTTTTCGGTGTATTTAAACAGACAAAATTAAATACATTTTTTTTACGTTTGAAATTGGTTAGATTGAAGTCAATATTATCCATAATTTCTTTAGTTATAATCGTTAAGGATGTAATCTAGAATTGTTTTAACAGTGTAAAATATTATTTTTAACAGTTTTCTTTATAAATTCGATTATTATTAATAAGTTTCCCTTTAAAATATGGAAACCCATTTGCTTATCCTATGACAAAATCCTTAACTACTTACCAGGCTCATAAGTAATTTCTTCCAAAACATGATGGCGTATTCCGTTTTCTTTATTCCTCTGGTTAGTTTGGGTGTTTAGGTGCTTAGGTCCAACTCCCACGAGAATCTTCGATTGTCTGATTCCTCGCTCCTCTGGTGACAGCAATAAAAGCCCCGAAAATAGCAGACTTTAGATAGCGTTTTTATATCTTTCGTGTGTTTGTTTGCCTATCAACTTTCAAAAGTCAATGGGAGTTGGGCAAAGTGACAATCGCAGCAACGATTCTAATTACAACAACTAGATTGGAATGCCGCAATGGTGAGTGAGTAAACCATATATTTACTAGAAAAACAAGAGAGAACGCTATAGTCGGGTGCCCCGACTATCAGATACCCGTTACTCAGCTAAAGGGAGTGCGAAAGAGATGGAGAAAAACTTTGATCCGCCGTAACTTTTTAACGAATGGTCCGATTTAAAAAATTTCTTCTACATTTCGATAGGTATTGATAAACACAATAAAACTGCATTTTTACTTTTCCAAAATATTGAAATTTTTAAAATCGTATATATGCGATTGTGGGCGTTAGAGGGGGCGTGGCACCCTTTTGAAACAAACTTGCGCTGCGTAGGAACTCCTAGAATCTGCATGCAAAATGTCAATCTTCTAGCTTTTATAGTTTCCGAGATCTCAGCGTTCATACGGACAGACGGACAGACAGACAGACAGACAGACGGACAGACGGACAGACGGACATGGCTAGATCGACTCGGCTAGTGATCCTGATCAAGAATATATATACTTTATGGGGTCGGAAACGCTTCCTTCTACCTGTTACATACTTTTGCACGAATACAATATACCCTTTTACTCTACGAGTAACGGGTATAAAAAACCCATCTTCATTTGAGTGGAGTGAGTGTTTAGTGAGTAAACAGAAAGGGATTTGGCTAGGCCTAGAGAGCATTTATCTAGAGCTCTTTTAAGTGTTTTGGCGTGAATATTTGCCTTTCATTTCTTTCAATAAAGAAAAAAATTAAACAAACTAAAATTTGTAAGCAAGACAACTAAATATTTAAGTAAAAATTACCTTAGCGAATTTAGTTTATGAGATTTTTCCTAAGCATTTTGGCTATTTAAATTTTATGATAAATATCACTGTGCAGAATTTTTAGTGCTTTTTAAATTTACCTCGATGGATGCTATATTTTTGGATTCGTTACGAATTCCCAAGTTAAACTGCGTTTTCCAAAAAGTTCTCCGACGCAAGGATTCTTAGCAAAAGGACCTCAAAGTTCGAAAAATGCTGAAATTGGCCAACTTTGCGGAGCTCTCAGAGGCAAATGGATGCATGGTTTGATTCGATGTTAAAGTTTTTTAAAAGATACACCCTTTATCTTTTAAACCCCATACTAAAAAAAATTTTAAGATTTTTTTTAAGGCAGAAACAAATTCTAGAAAACATAGTCAAAAAACATAAAAGTATACAGCAGCGGTCAAAATGGTAGTAGTGTTGCCGCCCTGTGTATTTAAAAGTTTGTTGTTGTAATTGATCTTTTCCTGGTAATATTGTATTAATTATAATTTTACTATTAGACTAATTGGATAAGAAAAAATTACAACATCAAACTTTTAAAAACACAAGGCGGCAACACTGCTACTATTTTGACCGCAGCTGTATGTTTTTCAGTTTTTTGACTATGTTTTTTGGAATTTATTTCTGCCTTAAAAAAAATCCTAAAATTATTTTATGTATAGGGTTTGAAAGATAAAGGGTGTATCTTTTAAAAAACTTTAACTTCGAACCAAGCCATGCATCCATTTGCCTCTGAGAGCTCCGCAAAGTTGGTCAATTTCAGCATTTTTCGAACTTTGAGGTCCTTTTGCTAAGAATCCTTGCGTCGGGGAACTCTTTGGAAAACGCAGTTTAACTTGGGAAGTCGTAACGAATCCAAAAATATAGCATTCATCGAGGTTAATTTTTGATGCTGCATAGTGTATTTGTCTTTCAAATCATTCAATAAAGATATGAAAGCAAGACAGGTAAATATTTAAATTATCATATTTACAAAGTTATTCAATTTAAAAAGGTAAATAAAATGCTTAATGTAAATACAAAAAAGGTCATAGATAATTTGCAATTGAAATAAATTTAAGTTGTTTTGCTCTATATTACTAAATATCAGTAAAAAGATTTTGAAAATAGTTCATATTGAATTTTTCTAAAGCACTTTGACCATTTAAAAAAGTAAACAATTGTAAAAATTTTTGTCAATGCTTTAAATTGAAAATTCGCTAATTTAAATTCGCTAATTTTAAATACATTTTCCAATTAGACTCAACGGCAATGGTTGAAGTCCCCGCTAAGCGCTTATCCAAGCATTCCACCACTTTCAAATTCAAGTGGCAATCCAGGGCTGGTCGACCACATTTCAAGGGAAAACCCTTCGCCCGTCTGGTAACACCAAACACCCCCGCAAATAAAAACCAGGAGCAGGAGGAGCAAAAGGACAAAGGATGACCAAGATTCCGGGCGTCAGCAATCTGGAGTTTGTCCGCGAGGAGGACTTTGTGGAGTACTACATCTTCCCCAAGATCCCCGACAATCTGCAGGCGGAGGAGGGCATTCTGCGCAAGTTGATGCTGCAGATTCGCAATGAAATTAATGCCATAGTTAAGGAGAAATCCTTGGAGCGAAGTTATCTATGGCACAAGGACGAGTTCCAGCTGCAAATCAGGCTGGGAACGGCGGAGGAGCGTCTCCTGAACGAGGAAACCAACCCGGAAGAGCAGGCGGAACTGGGTATACCAAATATTATTCTATAAATAGCTTAAAAATGCATGCTAATCCTCTTGGAAAACCCCGCCCAGGTGACCTCCCTCCACATTTCCATGGCGTCACCCATTATGGCGACAACATCAGCGACGAGTGGTTCATCGTCTATCTCCTCGCCGAGATTACACGTGCTCGCGGGGATTGCATTGCCCGGGTGAGCGATTCGGATGGGGAGTTTCTGCTCATCGAGGCGGCGGATTCTCTGCCGGATTGGGCCTCTCCGGAGAACTGTGAGCAGAGGGTTTACCTGGTCAATGGCTGCCTGCAGCTGCTCCAAAACTCCAGCCAGCAGGAGAAGCCTCTAACCATGGCAATGGCTGTCCAGAGGATACGTTTGAATCCCACTTTGTATCGCTGCTCGCGGGAGATCCAATCCTGCATAGATTCGCGGCTGAAGGAGTATCAGATTGCGCAGCCGCACTTCTCCATACATCGTCAGGTGCTGGAACTCCCTGTTAGTGCTGCTCAGCTGCTGAAACAGCAGCCCAGATTGCTTTCCTCTGCTGTGAGGGCTTTCTGCGAAAGGGATTCTTTGGATGTGAAGGCCCTACGCACCATGCGCTACTTTCCACCGGAGGCCACACGGCTGAGAACGAACGTTAGGTTCACCCGCTGTCTGTACGCCATGCTCTCCCACCAGCAGTATTTACCGGAGAAGCGCCTGGGCTGGAATCTAGCCGATCCCCTGAAGCAACCAGAGCGCTACAAGGAGCAGTTGTTGGGCGTAAAACTAGCCAGTGGCTTGGAGATCCTGGCTAGCCAAGCTAAAAGGGTAGAAAACCAACAGCTGGAGGAGATGCCCCAATGGCGTGCTTATGTGAGGAGTTTGCAAAGCAAAGGTTACTTTAAAAACAACCTAGAAGGCAGTGCGGAATACCAGGAGTTACTAAACAAAGCCAAGGATTACTTCAAGGGAAACCAAGCCCGCTTTCGCACAGCCTCACAAGCAGGCGCCGAAATCCTGGATATACTGCTCCACCCAGCGGAATCGGCCTCCGAAGAGCTGCGCGACGAGGAGAACAACCTGCAGCCCAGCGACTCGGATGAGTGGCTAAACATCAGCGCCGAGGATCTGGACTCCATGCTGCAGGATCGCTATGGTCCCAAGAAGCTCTACAAGCCGAATGGTCAGATGAATGCGGAGGAGTTCACCAAACAATTGGCTGAATTCCTAGATAGGCAGTCGAATTACGAAGGGATAGAGCACAGGGGTTTGGAGGAACCGGAACTGGATTCCGACGATGATGAGCCGCCGCCACAGGCTAAAAGTTCTACAGGATTAGGGGGAAAAGTCAAGAAGAATCCCTCCATGAGAAAAGCCTGTCAGAGGAACTCCTTGATTCAATCAGAGGAGCCCGACAGCACACATGTGCGTAATTTCCTGGACTTTGTCATACCCGAGGACAACTGGGACTCCACCTCCGAGATGAGCGACTATGCGGACGAGGAGGATATGGAGAGGAATCTGAATTCGCTGTCAGGGGGCAGCAGTGTTTTCCCTCTCGACCGGCAGATCCAATCGTACATGGAGCAAATGGATAGGGAACTAGCTCAAACCAGCGTGGGCAAGTCCTTTACTAGCAAACAGAAGAAAACAGCGGCTCCCCAAGCGGATGAAGATGATTTCGACGACATCGAGGACTTTGAACCAATCAATATTAATGTGAATACCTTGAGGAACATGATGGATAGCTATCAGTCGCAGGTGGGCGGCTCAGGACCAGTTTCCAATCTCTTTAGCGCCATGGGCGTGGGCATGTCAGCCAGCGAGGATCAGGAGCCCAAGGACATCTCCGAGTCGGCCGTTTAAACGGGTTAAACAGGGATCGTAGTTGCTAGTCTTAAGTATTCAACCATCAAGTAAATATATAATATGTAAATGTGAATAATTCGATTGTAATGTAAAGAGTTTTTCTTAATCTAATCCTTGGAAGCAGGCACAAAGTTTCCATAGTCGCGACGCACCTTCATGGGTGGCTCATTATTTGGGGGATCACTCCTTTGCTGGTGGTCATGGGAGCGCTTGTAGCCTCCAGATGAGGAGCCTCCTCCTCCTCCTTCAAAGCGATCTCTATGATCTCGATTATCCCTACGATCTCTGGGTTCGTATCTGTTGTGCCGGCGATTATCTGGGGAAATAAATAAGGGGATATGCTATAAATAGTTAGGAAGCTAGCTGGGAACACTTACCCCTGAATCCCCTGTCCTGGTTGTTGTGGTAACCAGCTCCTCCGCGACGCTGCCATCCCCTGTCGCCTCCCCCCCTGCGATGTCCATTGTAGCGATTGTAGGGATGATTACCTCCGCCACCCTGGTAACCACCTCCTCCTCCCCCGCCTCCCCCTCCACCCCCTCCTCCGCCCATCCAGTTCTCCACAATTGGCGGTTCCGGCAGCGGTTTGCTGCAGTGCGCCATAAACTCGGGATCTTCGTCTGTGAAGCGGCCCGCGAACTCCAGCTCACAGGATTCCAGAAAGTTCACGTCCTTCTCGATCAAGCGGTTTATCTTTCTGTTCGGATCCACCATTATTCTGAGATATATCTGAATTTATTCCTCTCGATGCGGGTTTTCATATGTTTCAATGGCCACCAAACACAGCTGTTGGTGCGTTCACCAACGTGACTGAAAAGTCACTGTGATTTTTGGCAAGTCACGACTTCAGTGTGTTATTTATTTTATGGTTGCGAATCAGTTTTTTATTCACAAATTCTTACATTTTTAATTGAATTTTTTAAGGTAAATAATAATAACAAGGTGTTCAGGTTGATTTTATAAAAAAATCAATCTTTACCAATACAAAATTTTTTTTTTATATTTATCAATTACATTTTAAAAATTAAGAAATAATCAATATATTAATCTAAATCTTTACCAATACAAATACATATTTTAATTTAATCAATTACATTTTATAAATCTAGATATAATCAATTCATTAAGATCACTGTATTAAAAGAACAAGCTGAACGCACCCATTAAATATTTAATTCAATATTTTAAAAACGAAAATTAAATGAAAAAAAGCAAAGCTTTAAATATTAAGATTGACTTATTTGAATTAAAAACTTAATTAAATCTAACAATATAAGAAATAATAAAAACTAAGTCACTGTATTCAAAAAACCAAGTGAACGCACCCATTTCCCATGTCACTGCAGTATTTTCCCTCCCACCGCAGTGCGGTCACACTGCTCGAAGCACACGATTTTTGCGGGGGCGAGTTTTCCGCGGAAAAATGCCATTAATTAGCAAGACAAACAACTACCGATGCTTCGTCCGCCCGCAGTAGAGAGCAGAACATGTCCCCGCCTCGTCGCCACAGCGAATCACGGCTCACAGTCCACACGCAAGCAGAGAATCCGGAGGAGCAGGAGAATCCGATTCCCAAACCCCCGGAGGAGATTCCAAAACTAAACTAAGCCATGGAGCAATCGGTGTCCGCCCGCTGGCTGCGACGCTATCGCGCCTTCTTTCTCATCCTGCTGCTCATCGTGGCCATCCAGTTGTTCCTGGCCTACAAATCCCTGGACATTGTGGGCGGCGGTTCGGGCTCCGGTTTCGATGCGGTTGAGGCGCCAGTGGGTACGCCAGCTCCTCCGCCTTCCCAGGAGCGACTCCAGGCTCCATCCCGAACCAAACTTACTGCCCAGCAACTGGGCTTCCAGCCGGAGTGCGACATTCTCGCCCGGGAGGCCATCTCCGCCCTGCAGCGCGCCAAAACGAAAGAGTGTCGAGAACATATCGCCCACATAGCCTGCGCCATCCAAGCTGGACTTTTCTATGCCCCCCAGCTGAGGAGCAGCTGTCCAGCGGGTAACCACACGGCCAACGTTTCCCTGGGTTGCTACAAGGACGAGAAGGATCGCCGCTTGCTGGCCGGTTACTACAGTAGCTCCAAGACCTCCAATTCCCCCGCCAAATGCGTGGAGCTGTGCCTGCAGAGCGGCTATCCCTATGCTGGTGTCCAGTATGGAAGGGAGTGCTTCTGCGGCTTCGATACGCCTCCGAGGGCTGCCAAGCTACCCGACTCCAGCTGCAACACCAAGTGTTTGGGGAATGCCAAGGAGATCTGCGGCGGTTTCTACGCCATGAACATATATGAAACGGGCATAGCCAGTGAGTACTGTGGGGGAATTTTAAGTATTAAGATATCTCGTGTTTTAAAAAAATATTACTACCACTTACCGGTAAATTACTTAAGTTTTATTAAGATGGAATTCTTAAATCACGTTTTTCCGAGTTAGCTATCCATAAATATTCTTTATATTCTTGAAGCTTATATTTTCCAACTGGGAATATTGGTTTCCACTTAATTTATTAGCTATAAACGCTGTATTTTTTATACAAACCTTTAATAAGTCAAGACAAGTTGATTTAGACTACCTTTATAAGGTTTTATTATTATTTACTAGCATAATTATTTAATCGAAAGCTATTTGTAGAAATCTTTGGATCTCTGATCATTAGATAAGACATATTACAGATTTATCATAGTAAAATCATATAGATATGATATAGAATTCTAAAAATATGTTTTACAAGCTAGGTATTCATAAATATTTTTTATGTTCCTCTTTATTTTTGATAAAATATTTATTTTAGCTGAAAAGAGTATTTTAAATTTATTTAAATAGTTACACTGATTTAACACACAAAAAAAGCATGTTCCCGTAAATCGATATGGCCATGTAAATTTCAGGTCATGCAAGACCCATATCGTTTTAACATGAAATACACTTTTCAAACAGTTAAAATTTACCTGGCCGCAGATCAAATTATAATTGATCGTAAATAGTGTAAAGTCGATCAACGTTTCATATAGATTTTTTTTTTGGGTGTAAGAAAACTCTTTATTCAATGAAAAAATTCTAAACAGATAACTAAACTAACTAATTTATTCATTTTCATGATATTTTCTATAATCTCTGCCTTATATACCCACAAATTATAATTATTTGTATAACCTGCTTAGATAGTTGATCTTAAGATAAGTAGTTCTCTAGAGAGAGATAAATCCGAGAAAAATTACCAAATTATGTACATATATTTCCCTTGATAATAAGATAGTGATATATCTTTTAACCTCCTCTTTCTCTTGCAGAGTTCACCGCCCAGCTGGCGGCCACCACTCCTCCGCCGGGAACTCAGCGCGTGCGGATCGCATTTCTGCTGACTCTGAATGGCCGAGCGCTGCGTCAGGTGCATCGACTGCTGAAGGCGCTCTATGCGCCGGAGCACGTCTACTACATTCATGTGGACGAGGTGGGTTCAACGGCCGGAACTTGGCAATTAAAGCGCGCTCAATTAATTGCGCTAATTTGCACAGTTTAACACACTGATGGTTGAAAATAGTTGCCAACTAAAAATGATTTATTAATGGTGTGGCTTGCAGTTAAATCAGAAATGCCTTGAACTACATAGAGTTTATTTATTAAGAGGAAAATGCACAATCAGCACTGCATTTAATTCACATTGTATACTAATTGCTTGGCTCAGCCAGTTTATAAAAAGATCTGCACGGAAAAAAAAACCGATGTGAAATAGGGTTATTTCTACCTTATTTCATATCAATAAAAAACCGATATGAATTATGTTAAATATAAGATTCATTCATATCAACATGATATTTTATCCTATAAAAAAAACCAAATCTAGTATTTTTTGAGCAAATAATTTATAAAAAGATCTTTATTCATATCATTTTGACCTTTAAAAAATATCAAATTGACCATTACCATTTTTTTTTTCTGTATTTTTAAGTTTCTAAATGATGAATATGATTTAAATTAATTTATATATTTTTCTTATAGCGCCAGGATTACCTGTACCGAAAGCTGCTCGAACTGGAATCAAAATTCCCCAACATTCGCTTGGCCCGCAAGCGTTTCTCCACAATCTGGGGAGGAGCCTCTCTGCTCACCATGCTGCTCCAATGCATGGAGGACCTCCTGCAGTCCAACTGGCACTGGGATTTTGTAATTAACCTGAGCGAAAGCGATTTCCCAGTGAAAACCCTGGATAAACTAGTGGATTTCCTAAGTGCCAATCAGGGAAGGAACTTTGTAAAGGGCCACGGCCGCGAGACACAGAAGTTCATCCAGAAACAGGGTCTGGACAAGACCTTTGTGGAGTGCGACACGCACATGTGGAGGATAGGAGATCGCAAGCTGCCGGCGGGGATTCAAGTGGATGGAGGAAGTGACTGGGTGGCGCTCTCGCGACCCTTTGTGGATTATGTAACGCATCCTAAGGTGGAAGATGAGCTGCTGCAGGCTCTTCTCAAGCTTTTTAAGCACACCCTACTCCCAGCTGAATCATTTTTCCACACGGTTTTGAGGAACACCCGGCACTGCACCAGTTATGTGGACAACAATCTGCATGTGACGAACTGGAAACGAAAACAGGGCTGCAAATGTCAGTACAAACATGTGGTGGATTGGTGCGGCTGCAGTCCAAATGATTTTAAACCGGACGATTGGCCCAGACTGCAGGCCACGGAGCAGAAATCCCTCTTCTTTGCCCGCAAATTCGAGCCCGTGATCAACCAGGCGGTGCTGCTGCAGCTGGAGGAGTGGCTCTATGGGCCGTACACCAGCGAGTATGCGAATTTGCATGGCTACTGGCAGTCGCTGTATCACCACGAGGATGTTCATGGCTCTGGGGACGATTTAACCAGAAGTATAGGTGACAGCGTGATGCGTTTATCTGCTAGACAAGCTAAATTGGATGCCCTGGAGCTGATAGAACTCACTCACTACCTGCACCGCGATCAGTACAAGGGTTTCCTGGTGCGCTACCGAGCTAGAGGTTCCTCAGGGAAACCCCTCCACCTGGAGACTCGCATACGTCCCATGCAGCAGGGCAAGCTGGCGAGAAATGCCCGGTTTAGCAAGAGATTACGCAATTTCGAGGTGTCCACGGATTTCGATCAAAAGGAGCAGGTGGCGCGTAACTTTGGCAAGCTCTTGGGTCCACAAAGTGATCTGCTGCTCAGCTATACACTTCAGGCTACTGGGGATTCCGGAGCAGCCTCCCATTCTTACAATCTTACCCTGCTTTGGATAGATCCGCTGGGTCGCCTGCAGGATTTCAATGAACTGCATGTGGAAGACTCCACCAGCGATGTGATAAATCACTCGAAAACGCTGCTCAAACATCCCATTACTCCAGGGATTTGGACAGCCAAGTTGATAGGAAGAAACTCCATTTACGCGCAGCTCAAGTTCCTAATTTCGCCAGTGGCTTATTATAGGGGATATGCCTTAGAAAAATCCTCTCAAGCTGAGCAGCTGAATGCTGGCTTAGCCGTAGCTCTGCCGGAGGATTTCGAGATGCCTTTGGAGTGGCAGCAGCATCTGCAGACCGACGACGAGCAGTTCACCATGCGCGAGGAGTCGCTGGCCAAGGGAAGGATGCTGGGACAGGAGCTGCACGGTTGGATTGATGGATTGGTGGCGCAGTTCTTCCAACTCCGCGAGAGCTGCGTGGTGGAGACGGAAACGGAGATCTCGCTGCCTCTCTGCAGCGATACCGCCTGGAGTTCACTGGCTGCCGATCCCAAGAGCGATGTGGATGCCCTGCTCAAATGAGCCGTTTGCCATTTTTTTTGTTATTAATTCTCTAGTGTAAATACTCGCTATATATGCAATTAATCATTTTTGATAGCTCCTTTTTCTTGATTCGTACAGATTGTTGTGATAAATGTGAACTTTTAAGCGCCATCTCTTGACCGCTCCACTTGTAATTTGATTTTTTGCAATACTAGAGCATAGAGCATTTTTTCAACTAGTTAAGTTAGTTAGGTTTGAAACGAAACGAACGACGAACGGAGGCGCCTTGTAAATACGCAACGCACTGGACACCAAAAGAGAGATCGCAGATTGCAGCCAAATATCAATTAGAATCCAGAGTTAACTGTACATAAAAGTTAGCTAGATGCAATTCCTTAACTAAGTCATAAGATAGCAATTTTTCCTCGATTTTCTTTGATTCACATATCAAGATTTATGCAAAATAAATGAGCAATTCTACATGTAAAGATTCTTCTCTTTTTTGTATGTTTTTGGCGGAATGCGGAACATTTTTCAGGGGCCGGAATTCCAGGTATTTGATGTATTTAGTAGGTTAGAGACTTAAGTAGACTTAAAGCCAAGGCTATTTGTACTGCCGTTCGCTGCTGGCGGGCAGCCTAGATGCACAGATCCTCGTCGGGATCCTCCTCATCGAAATCATCGTCGGCATCGGGCGTGTAGATGATGTTGCCCTCGGACGGCTCGCTGGTGCTGTAATAAATAGATTTATATGAGTAAGATATATATATTTCTTTAGGGATCCCAACTAGAGCCCTGCGTGAATCATTCAATTTTTGTTTTATCATAGTATGCCAGGAAATTTCTGATTTGTTTAATTCAATTCTATGTGAAATAAATTGAATGTTTTTCTAATTCATTTCGAATTGAATGAATGAATGAATAATATTTATGAATTTGCCAGAATTTTTTTGCTTTCTTTTAATAACAAAAAGTGGAAAATTTTTAACAAATCAATATTAACTGCTTAGAAAATAAAATTCATGCAGATTTAATCACAAAATTATGGCCCTTTCTTCTTCTAAAGAAATTGTAGCTTGAGTTATTTCGGAATTTATGCCATTCATTCATTCAATTCTATTAACCTAAAAATTTAAATTTATTCAATTCTATTAAACTCAAAATTCAAATTCATTCAATTCTATTAAACTCAAAATTCAAATTCATTTAATTCTATTAAACTCAAAATTCAAATTCATTCAATTCTATTAAACTCAAAATTCTAATTAATTCAATTCTATTAAACTCAAAATTCTAATTAATTCATTCATATAAAACAAAAAATTAAAAAAAAATAAATAAATAAAATAAAAATAATAAAAATTCAAAATAATTCATTGAAAATATTCATGGAGGACTCTAATCCCAACTAACCGTTCGTATGGCAGGGTGAGTGCATTGCGGGCCACCACCTCATCCTCGTCCAGCTCGATTTTGAAGGTGCTGCTGGCCGGTTCGGCTGTTGGCTCGGTCTCCGGGGAAGGCTGCTTGGGTGAGACGCCTGCCTGGGCTACTCCACCATCCAGGGGAGTCACCTGGAACTGGGTTTTGCTGACCTGACAGGAGAAGCGTCTGTTGGAGACCCCTCCTCCCGGTTTCCTGGATATCAGCGACAATAGCTTATCCGTCTCGAGGCGCAGGACCAACTCGGCTAGGTACTCGCAGCCCGCCAGGATGTACTCGGCATGGGGATGCTGCAGATGCTGTGGGGAGGCCCACAGGAACACCCGACGCACATGCTCCGAGCGACGCAGGCGGTTCAAGAAGCCAAAGATGAAGGCGGGCGTTTGGTAGCTCAGCAGGTCGGCCAGCGTGGGCAGGATGACATTGAATCCAGTGGGTTTACCCGAACCCGGAGTTCCTCCATCCAAATCTCCGCCAGATTCTCCCGCCGCCGGCGTGTTGTTGTTGTTGTTTTGGTTGGCGCACTCGGCAATCAGAGAATCAAAGGTGGCCACGTGCTTCAGGGTGACGCCGGTGGGCAGGGATTTAATGGTCTCCGCACCCTGTCCCTGTTCCTGCAGCAGACTGCCGATGAACTTGGGGGCAATGCGCTCCCGATTTAGCTCATCTTTTGGTGGTGAAAACGGGGAAGAGGTGAAGGAGAATTCACTTTAGTTGGCATTCTGCTGGGTTATCAGTGAACTCAAACTCACCTATTACGAGGACCACCTTTTGTTTGGTCACCAGCAGGTTGGAGAGCATTTTGCCAGCATTTATTGAGTGATTTTACCTTATTTATTTCAAAATTGTATTTGTAAATTGTGCTTTTTGCCGAAGCTGCCTGTAAATGTTAAAGCAGAGGCGTTAAGGTGTTTCACTGCTGTTAACAGGGTCACACTGTTGCTGTAGGGGGAACCAGGGCTGTGCAGTTAATTTTGAATATGATTAAAATAAATTTATTCTTTTTAATAATTTATAAAAATTAATGTTATTTTCAAATATTATAAGTAAAATATTTTTAGCCATTAATTATTTTTATACTTATTATATATATAATATTTTATATCCATCCCTGGGTGTCCCGCTTTTTTCCAAATGAGTAAACAGACAAAAACAAAGTGAATAAAGCGGTTAAACGGATTGAGTTACAGTTTAAAACCCTTTGATAGTGAAAGTTTGACCTTGTCCTTGTCTTATTTGTAATAAATTAAAGATCAATGAGTGTGCCGCCTTATAAATAAACTAGATAAAATAATGCTGACGTAGTAGAATTCGCACATTTTGTTGCCAAAATTCTCTCTTTGTGTTTGTGCCGCTTTTGTTCTTGTCTTTCGTATAAAAGACTGTTTGGAATAAAAAATTCCAAATTAAATTAATTGGACTACTGACTAAAACAAGAATTGTAAGTAAAACTCTTTATTTAAGCCACGTCTTTAAAAACTCTTTAAAAACAAATAGAACTTGGTGGCGGCTTTTCTTTTACACTCAACAAGTGGTTCACCTGTAGTTGTAGTGGTGTGTGTTTTGAAAGTTGGCCTGCATGTGTGTGTTATTGTTTTTACCGTTTTTATCGAGCTTCCAGCGGGGAAAAGCTCGTTGAAATGGAAATGTCAAATGGAAGGGCCCGGAAAAGCGGGGGCGTGGGCGGGGCTTTAGGGCTTTCGACGCCCACGCAGCCTTTTGCAGAATTTCCACGGCTTTTCCTCCATATGGAAAGGCACACAGCTTCCTGCATTTTAAGCAGTTCGTTCAACAAGTTAAGTTTAAAGTGCGTGGCAGTCAGCGAAAAATATTGCAAAAAAATTGTGAAAAACCCCAGCGTCATCGCCTTAAAGTCACTAATTGGCTGCTAAAGATAAGCGCTATAAGAAAGCGGTATTGAAACAGGCATTATCTGAGCAGAGTGAGGAGCATCAATCAAGTATACGCCATGTTGTTCTCACTGGGTGAGTTGAAATACAGTCAAACTCACATAAACAGAACTTTAAGAATTTAGGGTTCTTTAAGAAGAAAGTGGTTCTTAAAGTTGGAAAGACTTTATATCTATTGAAATCTATCAAAAAACCATACAAATCAATGTTCTCTAGGGGATTTTCCCATTATTACTGAATACAAAGTGGATTAGTTTTAATTGAAGTCAATAAATCAATTTATCTTAAGTTGCTATGCTATTACTTCACTAATTAATATATGTTAGTTATGAAATAATAACAAGTAGAACCTATTAAATAATTTCTATTAATTTCTAGTTTAACTAATAATATCTATGTTCTTTTTTTTATATTAATAAGTAGAACCTATTAAATGTGAAATAAAACCATAAAATAAATGAATGTTACACAAAACTCGTAAAAAAAATAATGTATAAAATCAACAAATGAGTAGGCATTACAAAAAAGGTTCCAATTCCAAGGAATTTGTTTCGTTCTAGTACAAAAAAATAGTTCCTTTTAAATGAGTTCAACTGCACTCACCCATTATTATGCATAGAACATTAAAGTCAAAGTCGCAATTGAAATGCCGCTCAGTGACAATAGTTTGAATAGACGCAAGGAATGCAAAATGCAAAAAAAACAAGAAACAAAATGGTCATCAATGCAGCTCCTTCCCCTTCCCATCCAGAAACCAAACAAACCTGGTGCGGCATACTAACCAGCATTTGTTGCTGGCACCCAACCCCACTGGAAACCCAATGGAATCCAATCCGCATCAGAAATTAAACCACATTATCCACACCGAATTGAACAATATGGTATGGGGTCTATATTGCATGCGAGAGATTTCAAAGAGAGAGATACGGAAAAGCTTTCGTTTTTTTAACCAACGCCGGGCGGCGGCTGGAAAACTTTAAATTCAGTTGCGCATTGCACGCCAAAGTGTTCGGTTGTCTTTTAATTCGAGTCTCGTGTCGTGCTAACTAGTGTAGTTAGTTACTAGCTGTTAGTTACTAGCCATTTTCGTGTGCTGTGTCTTGGGGCAATTAACGTTGGTTACAATTGCATGTGAACCTATTGATTAATCAGTGCATAGAACACCATGTCAAAGGATACAGATGTGGAGCAGCAGGCTAGCAAGCCGGAAAGTGGAGTTGTCCAGGTGGAGCCGGCGATTCCCGAGGAGACACCAACTACTGTGTCCACAACAACCACGGTGATCGCGGTGACGAATGGCGAAAAGCCAGTGGAAGTGACGGCGACAACAACACCTGCAACAGCGGAACAAGTGCAACCTGCAACAACCATTGCTGGCATTGAATTGGCAACACCAACTGCAGCAACAACATCGCCATCAACAGGTAGACAACCAACAATAACCCACCTGTGAATGTGAATGGCATTGGATTTTTTGGCTTCAAGTTTGATTAGTGCCAAAGTAAAACCAACAAGTCGAGTGTTTAGTTTTAGTAAAAGTTAAAGCTTAAAGCAAAACGCATCGAAAAAGAGAGACTGCACACTGTACCATCACGAACTGGCTGAAATTTCACTTTGCTTTTCCAGACTTTATTTATTTTACTTTTACGCTTTTCCAAAGTCGTCATCTTTCTGGCCGGGTTTTTACTTTCGATGCGATATGTTCGCCTATGTAGATTGTTTCGAATTTCAAATTTTGCGCACGATCTGCTGCCACGCTTTGATGATTTTAGCGTCTTTGGCACGCCCACTTAACCCTAATAATTAACAATCATAATCGCACTTAATTAATGTGCCAATTAATTTCACTCGCCCGAAAATGGAGCACTTCGAACTGAGTTCATTGAGTTGGAGGGAAGACGCGTGGCTGCTAATTTTTTACCATTTACCAGGCAGTTATAATTACGATTGCCAGCTACAAATGTCTCCATGCCCACTTATCAGCCAATTTACAAGCTCACACTTGGCATGGAAGGCTTATTTGCAGTTTGCTCGGGCCTCGACGCGAAATTAAAACAGCATTTGCATACCAAACTTCAATTAGGGCAACAAATAGAGGGCCCCTTTATCGAGGGCATCTGCACCGCAAAGTTTACTAGCAAAAGTGCAGTGGAATAATTTGGGGGTTTTGTTTATTTAAATCGTAGTATTTTAAAGGTGTTTAGGGTTTATTGCTGAAAGGAAAAAATTACGTTTTCACTTTTGCAAATTTTGTAAAAAGTATACATTTACGTGGTCCATATGCCATCTTTGACCATATGGAACTGGAAAAGCTTAAGTGCAGAAGTTCTTTGGTATAACTGTGTTAAAAACTACGGTTTTTTCTTAGGGATTTACGGTTTTTAATGTTCTTACATTACATAGCTTTTATTTTTTAGAATTTCTAAATTGTTACTTATAATTTATTAGTTATACATTAATTTATATGGTCGAGGAACATTTTTTTGGCCATCTGGAACTTCAAATTTCGCCACTACCATTTATCCGAATAAAATATTTAGATGAATATTTATCAGCTTTTAGTGACCATGGTTCTTACAAATAGAACAATATTTTTTTAGTGCTTAATTTGGTACCATTTGATTTAAAGTAAAGTTCAAAAATATTTTTCTACTTACATCACTGGTACTTTTAATAAATCAAAACTAGTTTTTAATTTATTTAATGTGCCAATGCTGCAACATCAAACGGAAGGAACAGAACATATATGTGCGATGCTATTTAAAGCGATTTAATATCAGATGGCTTGACTATCTCGAGAACAGACTGATAACATATTTGCGCCTGCCATAGAGATAAAGTAGGGAAATTCTATTCCCAAAAAAAAAAAACACTGGGTAAACAAACGTAAATGTTTACCCATGAATTAGGCAAATTAGGCAAATTATGAGTGGGCGATGAAAGGGGAAGTGTGGGTGTGTCCGAAAAATGCCAGGAAATTTCAACGCAGCCGATATGTTGAGATGTTGTTTATAGTATTCGTATGGGTATCATATATCTGGCGACAAAGGAACTGTTTGTTTTCATAACGAAATGCAGCAGCTGTCATTCAACCGGATCAGATGTACCGAGGGGTCTACAAAAAAAATGGGTTCAAGAATGCTTACATATTCGGTAAACTTCTGGTCGCATGTTATCAGCAAGTGTTTGGGGGTTATTTTAATCTTCAACCGCAGACGACAGGTGGAAAATGTAATTGAATAGTAGGTTTAAGTAGTCATAAACTATGTGAGTGGAATATATATAACCCTTACCAATTCCCCAACAATCTCTAGCGATTAGATCGCCCCAAAAAAATGCGTGCCATGCGTAATGGGTTCTATTTTTAACTCATCTTAACAGAACCCCTGAATTTTATTGGATTTTTTTAGGCAGTGGCAAGGCCAACATGGATCCGGCGCTGATCAACTTCAAGGTGCTCTATGTGCTCACCCAGCTGTGTGGACTGACGATGATTGTCCTGGTGGGCACTTGGATTGGTCAGCACTTTGGTGGTCTCGGTGGAACCTCCAATCCCGGCCTGGAGTTCAACTGGCATCCGCTGTTCATGACCATTGGTTTTATCTACTTATATGGCAATTGTAAGTAAATCTTTTTAGCAACGGAAGAGGTGCAACTCCACTCCTATTGATTAAGTGCTAATCTTGCAAAACCCACAGCTATTCTCATCTATCGCGGCTTCCGCACCACACGCAAGAAGACTCTGAAGCTCACCCACGCCGGCATTCATATGGCCGCATTTATTCTGACGGTGATTGCTCTGAAGACGGTCTTCGATTCCCATAATTTGGCCAGTCCGCCCATTCCCAATATGTACTCGCTGCACTCTTGGCTGGGTCTCTCGGCGGTTATCATATTCTCGCTGCAATATGTCGCCGGTTTTGTGGCCTTTTTGGCCCCGGGTTTGAGGGAAAACTACAGGATCGCCATGATGCCGCTGCATATTTACTTTGGACTTTTCGGTTTTGTGCTGGCCATTGCAAGTGCTTTGATGGGAATCACCGAAAAGGCCATCTTTGCTATGTAAGATAAGTCTAGATCTGCCGCTGCGCTGCTTGCGTTTCGACGCACACGTACGCTGTAAAGCAGAAAAACGTCGCTCTGTTGGTTTAGATATATTATAGATCATCTAACTAATCCTTTATCCTTAATTTTCCCAGCAAAACACCGGCGTATTCCACCCTTCCACCAGCTGGTGTCCTGGCCAATGTGATTGGAGTTCTGTACGTGGTCTTTGGAGCCCTCGTTGTCTACCTGGCCACTGATCCCGCTTTCAAGAGAAAGCCCATTCCGGAGGATACGGCCCTTCTAAACTCCAGTTCTGCCAACGAATAAGAACTCTATCAATGCCCCAAATCAGCTGCAAAAGCTTACTTAAGCTCCACAAAAAACTGTGCACAAAACCAAAACGAAACCGAAACCTGATTTAAATGGAGGGTGCTATGTTGTATTATATGTAGCAGTACATAACTTAACTTGACTTTGTACAATTCGGAGCTATCCACAGATACGTATACTTGGATCACCAGTTGTGCTAGGAGATTGAAAGCGAGTGCTCAAATCGTAACGTATTTAACCTCATGAAGAACATTTGCTTTGAACCGTACGAATACATCTATCTATATGTGTGTTATATATGCTTAAATAAATATATATATTAATACGATTCGTTGGTGATGAGAAAGCCTCCTTTTTGGCGCTCCTCCAGGTCATCCTCCTCCTCCTCCTGATCCTCTTCCTGGTTATCCTCCTCCTCTCCAGCTTCCTCTTCCTCCGAAGTTGAAGAAGCCTTTGGAGCCACATAGCTTGGTGCAAAGGGCAGATTGTCGAGTATCATGCTCTTCGAGCTCTTCACGCTCATGCTCACTTGGTCGTGATCCTGGAAGGTGAGATCCGGATCTATGACCACCAGATAGGTGGGCACCTTGCCCACTCCCTTGACCTCCGTGTGAGCCCGGTAATTGCAGCGAATGTTGAATTGTCTTAGGACTTTTGCCGTGTGCCTGGTGACCTGGATATTGTCCAGCAGTCCAGTGGAGGTCATGCGGGAAGCCATGTTAACTGTGTGACCCCAGATGTCATAATGGGGCTTTGAAAGTCCCACAACGCCAGCCATCACAGGTCCATGGGAAATGCCTTAAAAAGGTTACGAATTTGTTAAGAAATATATTTAATAAACCTCAGAAGACCCACCGATCTTTAGACTGCCCGACGCAAAAGAGTCGTACTCCGAAAATCGGACATTGTACCGAATGTCATACATAATTCGGAGTAAATCCAAGGCAAATTCGGTCATTACCAGAACGGCTCCATCTTGCACTAAGGCTAATGGCTGATTAACAGTATCGCCACTCATTTCATCGTCCTCGGTGCTACCAAAATGAACAGTCAGAACTGTAAAATAAATTCGGAAATAATTCGGAAATGAGTCCTAAAACAAGATATGTTATCACCGCTAGATCTGCGTCTCATTTCGGACTCCGTTTCGGGTTGCTTGACAGGAATGTCGATCGAAAAGTCTGTATAGTGATCCACTTGAAGGCCACAGGCCGCCATGTAGGTCCAACCCATGACCTTGATCTTCTCGATCTTGTACCTCATTTGGTACTCAACCAGAAGGTCGTCAAAGCAGCATATAATCTCATGTAGAATTCTCAGACCCGCCGTATCCGCATTGAAGTTCTCGATGGAGGCAAACATCACAGCCACTTTGGAGAAGGTTTCGGAGTAGAGCTGATCGTTGGGTCTTCGGACTTTGAAAACCTCTGCCACATGGGAAGGTAGCATATTGGCCATAATGATCTTAATAGAGCGCAGCTTGTCATCTGTCCGTTTGTGCGTCTCCTCGTAGCAAATTCGCATGCTGAAAAGGATTAGATCAGAAGGTATTCTAACATATATCCTATAACTTACAAGTAAGAAACCTTCTTCAGGTAATTGTGGTGACGATCACGCATTATCAGAATGATGAAGAAGGCCACCAGGTACCAGGTGTGGGCATAGTCCGCCTTTAGACCCAGATCTGTGGTCTCTGAGCGCTCAAAGGCGAAACCATAGTAAAAGTGAACGGTGCCCAAGTGGAGACCCAGGATGACGAGGCCCAAGGTCATCTTGATTATAAGCGGACAACCCAGGGTGACAAACAAAAGACTGAGCACTATGACCACTGAATAGGTCACTGTCTAAAGGTTTAGTTCTTAAATACGTTAGTTCTTAAGAATCAATTTATTTTAAGTGATACGAACCCAGGGTCCAAAGCATTCCGCATAGGACTTTTCGTTATGCAGATGGGCATCAATAATACCCAGTTCTAACTTGGCTACATCACAGGAAAACTAAAGTGGGTACAGATCATTAAGCTTTGATCAAAACAGAGATAGTATGTATTGATAATACCCACCACTGTCTGAGAGGACATTACGTAGAGCAGAAGCATTACGATAATGGCCAGTGGAACCCTTAAAAAAATCGAATCCTCGATGCGTTCCGAGATCCTCAGAAGCCAACGGCTTAAGAAACATGAGGGTTGCGACATGGGTGTCAGTCTTTTACATTGTCGTCGCAATTTCTTATAACCAGCGAGAAAACAAAGGATCAGCAGTACAAGAAGTATTCCCACCAAGACAAAGATATCCAACTTATCAGCTCTATGGGTTATAAGAAAACAGAATGATATCCTTATCATTAGAGGCACTACTTACTGTTCGATCAAGTTAATGGTTAATATAGCCAGGCCCGCACAGCAAACCAAAATCATAGTATACTTCATCATGAGATCGGGTTGATTGTGAAACCCCCATTCAGTCTTCCAGCTGCGGAATACTCCTAAGAAAAGATGGATCCGCTTGTTAAACAGCTGCTCCTCACTGAAACCCTTGCTCTTGGTCAACCTGTTTCGCTTGCACTCGAAGATGCAGTGACCCACCGCCATCTGTTCCACCTCCTTCATCATCTCACGCTGCGCTTTAATCTGGAGATCCTCGTAGTAACCGGCGTAACTCAAGCGATAAGAGGTTATGGAGGCATTGCTGTAGTCCTGGTCCAGATCCCCGGGTTCCACTGTATCAGGCAGTCGACTGCTGACCAGATAGGTGCGGATTCCAGCTTGCTTCAGGATCGTATCATTTCTGGCCACCTCAGTTCCATCGCTAAACACATAGTGATCGTCCAGCATACTTAGAGTCCTCTGGGAAACGTGCACCAAACCAGGAAGGCCTGTCATTTCTAACCGATTAGTAATATCCACATCCTTGGACCAGATGTCAAACTGCCACTTTGTAAGTCCAATGATGCCGGCGAATACCTCCCCCGAATGCACACCAATCCTTAGATTGATGGCCAAATTCCGCCGGCCACTAATATCCTGGGTAATGCGAATCATCTCGAGGGCCTGATCCACACAGCAGGAAGCGTGGGCAGGAAAGTAGTTGGGTATTCCAGCCACACAGTTGTAGGCATCCCCAAGGAACTTGATCCTCATCGCTCGGTTGCGATTGGCGGCCATATCAAAATTGACAAAAAGATCATGTAGGATCTCCACAAGTTGCGCTGCCTCCAGGGTAGTCGTTAAATGCGTGTAGTTGACCATGTCGGCCACCAAACAAGAGACTTCGGGATAGGGTTCCAAAAAGAGTTTTCTATAAATGGAAATATTTTTTCACTACACACCAAAAAAATCGTCGTAGATCCATTTTAACTTGATATGGTCGAACCGTAAAAACGATATTTGGGTAATATCAATTTTTTTATAGCATGGCTTCTTGCTCTCTTTTTCGAAGTTAGAGAACCTCCGAGAGAGAGAATTTTGGCAAAATGATATAAATTAAGATCAATTTTATGAATATTTTAGGTCAAAACGATATGAGAATGAATTTGCATTGACATATCGATTTTACGCCGACGTGCTTTTTTTTGTGTGTAGTATTAGTAGCTATAGTTATAAACCTACCTTGAAGTGGACCTAAGAGGCGTAAACTTCTTATCCTGATCTTCGATACGACTGCAGATTTCCTCCTGCAGAGTGCGAATCATTCTGCGTGGTAGTATGGACTCCAAAAGGGCCTTTTCCTTTTTCATAACAGTCTGGAAAATCATTTATATTTCATTATATTCTTATTAGAAGAACTCATATAGAGAACTCACCTGATATACAATATTTTGGTATACCAACTGGTACCGAGTCAGTATCGAGCGCCTGAGGCAGTAATCACGAAGTACAGTAAAGTACGAAAATATAAGGTTCAGAATGAAGAGATATATCGCATAGGAGCCGAGCAGGGCCAGCGAAACTTGGTCGTTGAGATGCTGCATATACCAAACGAAACCCAGATAAACTAGGGAAACCGTAAGGCCCAGGATATATACACAATAACCCTTGAAGAATGCAATGGGAAGAGCCATGTAGACACAGACCAGCACCACGTGATCATAGGTGGGTACTATGGGATATGCCGATTCAAGGTGGATGGTCCCCAGGAGATCAGAAGAGATGTCTGCAAAGGAAAGACTCTTAGGATCAGCTAATAACGATCATTACTAACCACCCCACCCATTATGGTTAGAAAGAAAGCCATCAGACATGAGATGAGGAGGTGAACAGTGAACGAAACATCTTCCTGCATGCTGCCTATCATAATACACGGAGTTAAGATCATTATTATTAAATAGGGAAGCAATGAGACCAGCACAATATCCTAAAGGAAACAAGGAAAGTTTGTATTCATTAAAGGAGAATAAAGAGAGTTAAACCTACCCGAACTAATGAGAGCAAAAGTATTATGTGAATGATCATTAAGAGTTCTATGTGCCAAATAACGCGACCCACATTCGCTATCATCGCCAGCTCCCGAAGTCGAGAACAGGCCAATTCCAGGCGAAGATTTCGGCACTTCTTCTAAACTTGTTAGGATTAGATGTCAGGATATAGTGGTTATAATAAGGAGGATTATTTACCCTCAAGTGCCTGCACTCCAATCCCTTAATGGTGCTCAACGAGCGGTAGGCCACCACGTCCTCTTGGTATCCATCCATTTAGAGGGTTAAATAAAAATCAGGTTGAACAATTACTAGGTTGCACTATTATTCTATTTTACTACACTTTTATTTTGAGTTATGAAGCAGAGAACAAGTACAGTTCCATAAATATATTTTAATATCAATTTTAATATTAATAATTATCCTTTTTAGCCTCTTTTTCATCCCTCCACTCCAAAGAGATTAGGCTACTTTTGCTTTTCAAATCATCACTGTGGCGGTGGTTCTGGAACTGTAAATTCTGGTCCAGATCAACCAGGTAAGTGGGCACTTCGCCCACGCCCTTCACAAACGTGTGTCCTCGATAATTGCATCGGATATTCAGATCCTGCAGGATGTTCGAGGTGCTCTGGGTCACGTGGATGCCATCCAAAACCCCCGTGGAGCTCATCCGAGAAGCCATGTTGACGGTGTGACCCCAGATATCGTAGTGCGGCTTCGAAAGTCCCACAACGCCGGCCATGACGGGTCCATGGGCAATGCCTAAAGTTCCAGAAAAGAAAAAAAAAAAAATAATAAATAATAAAAAATAAATAAAAAAAAAATAAATAAAAAAAAAATAAATGAATAAATAATAAATAAATAAAAAACAGGTGGATCTTACCTATCTTAAGACTACCAGTCAATATAGTATCCTGCTCAAAAAGCACACCCTTCGATCGAATCTCCTGCATAACCCTTAGCAAATTCAAAGCGAATTCAGTCATGACCAGAACTGTATTATCGATCTGGTTCAGAGATGGCAGGGAACATTGCCAAGGGGTGCTTATCTCATCATCGTCCTCCTCATCAATAGGGGCAAAACGCACAGAAGCTACGAACCAAGAAACCAAAGAAAAAGTTAAAAAATAAATTGTATAGAGAGATTATACTTACCAGATTTTAGCGTATTTTCCGTTTCTCGATTACTTGAAAATGGAACGCTGATCGACAAGTCAGTGTAGTGATCCACATCCAAACCGCAAGCTACTAAATAAGTCCAACCCATCACCTTGATCTTTTCGATCTTGTACCTGGTCTGGTAGTTCATCAGAAGGTCATCAAAGTAGCAGATGGTTTCGTGAAGAGCCCGTAACCCATACCTATCCGCTTGGTAGTTCACTATAGAGGCAAACATTACGGCCACATGGGAGAAGTTCTCGTAATACAGTTGATCGCTACGCCGACGAGTCTTGAAAACCTCCGCCACATGGGAAGGCAGAATGTTGGCCATGATGATCTTAATGGAGCGAGTTTTGACCTTGGTCAGCTCGTGCTTCTTTTCGAAACACATGCCCATGCTGGAGAAAGGTTTTGTAATGAGTATAATAATATATGATTACCAAAAGTCTAACTGTCCTTAAGAATTCGCGGTTCATATTCTTGGTTATTTTTATTCTGAAGAATTCGCGGTTTTAAATTACTATTAACCTACTTACAAGTAGGACGCCTTCTGAATATAATTGAGGTAACCTTCGCGCACCACCACCACGATGTAGAATGCCACCAGGTACCAGGTGTGGGCCAAGCTCGATCCCAGGCCCACATTTGTGGTCTCCGACCTCTCAAAGGCGAAACCGTAGTGAGCATGGACTGTGATCACATGGCTGGCCAGGATAACGAGACCCGCAACCAACTTGATGACCAGTGGAATGCCCAGGGTGACCAACAGCAGACTGAGCACAATGATCACGGCATAGGTTACTGCCTATTGAGATAAAAAATTACATATTCTGAAAAATTCGCGGTTCTGTATTTATGAAGGCACGTCGCAAAAATACCTACCCATGGCAGAAAGCAAAGCATTTTGGGCGTAAATTTGTATAGCTCGGAGTCTATGATCTCCAATTCCAGCCTGGCTACATCACAGGAAAACTACTTAGATATTAGAGATATCAGTAGGTAACTAAGAAAAGTTGGAAAATACAGAAAATACTCACCACCGCCTCCGAGGACATACCATACAGTATAAACAGCACCGCGATGGCTAGGGGAACCCGGACAAATATCGATTGCTCTATGAGATCGGATAGCCTGACTAGCCAGCGACTCAGGAAGAATGAGGGTTGCGTCAAGGGTGTGAGTCGTCTACCCCTTAGCCACAGTTTCTTGTAGGCTGCCACCACAAGGGCCAAAAGCATTACGAGAAACAGACAGAACTGTATGGTGTAGTCAAAGTCATCAATGCTAAGAATAAAATCATAGTGGATAGTAGTCAAGACCGTATAACCAATAACCTCACTGTTCTAAGAGATCCATGGACATGATCGTAATTCCTGCAAGGACCGCCATTACCAGGCTGTACTTCATCAGAAGATCCGGTCGATTGTTGAAGGACCACTCCGTTCTCCAGTTGCGAAATGTGGTGAAGAGATAGTATGACTCCAGATTGAATCTATACTCCTCGCTGATGCTCTCCTTACTTTTGCCATCTTTAGGTCTAAACTGGCAGGACTGTACTCGATTCACCGGCATGTGCTCCACCTCGAGGATCATCTCCCGCTGCGCCTTCACCTGAATGTCTTCGTAATCCTCATCCCTAAAACTCAGGCGGTAGTTGTCCAATGAGATATTGTCGTCCTCGAAATCATCGGGTTCTTCAAAATCGGGTAGGCGACTTCTGATCAGATAGGTACTAATATTATCTCGTTGCAGGAGCGGATCTTCCTTGGCCGTTTCGGTACCCTCCTCACAAACATAGTGATTGTCCAGTAAGGACAATGTCCTGCTGGAAATGTGCACCAGGTTCGGAAGTCCCGACATTTCGAGATGAATGGCTATGTTGACGTCTTTTGACCAAATGTCAAACTGCCACTTGGTGTGACCAATGATTCCAGCGAGTATTTCCCCCGAGTGCACGCCGATCCTAAGTTCAATCTTCCGATTGCGACGCTTACTCACCTCACGGCTGACATCAATCATGTCCAGAGCTTGGTTCACACAGGCATTGGCATGGCTGGGAAAGTAGCTGGGAATCCCGGTTACACAGGTGTAGGAATCCCCAAGGAACTTGATGCGGGTTGCACGATTTCGATTGGCAGCCATATCGAAATTGACAAAGAGTTCGTGCAGGATGGAAACCAATTCGGGTACCTCCATTGTGGTCGTCAGATGGGTGAAGTTGACCATATCCGCTTCTAGGATGGAGACTTCTGAGTGAGGTTCTACGAAGAGACGCCTGTGGGAAAGAAGTTACTCTTTATGATCCCATTTGACAGATAGCTCTTCCCATCTCCAAACTCACCTTGTCTTCGAAAATGGGATTAGACCATTTGGATCTTCCTCGATGTGACTAGCAATAGCATCTTGCAAGGACTGCGCTAAAGCTAGAGGCATAATGGAGTCCAGTAGGGCCTTTTCCTTTTTCATAGCCATCTAAAATCAATCTCCAAAATAAAAATTTCATTCCAAAATAGCTTAACTCTACCCACCTGAAATACCATATTCTGGTACACCAACTGATAACGACTCAGCACCCCGCGTCTTATGTAGTACTCCCGAAATCCCTTGAAGAACAGGCAAATCAGGTTCAGAAATAGGATGTACATGGCATAGATGGTCAGCTCCCAAACTTTATCGTCGCTAGTCTTGTACTCCATCCAAATCATATAGGAAAAGTTCACCAGCGAAACGGCCAAACCCAAGAGGTAAACTCTTCCGTTCTCCAAATAAGAAATGGGAAACAACAGGTAAACCATGATAATCACCACATGATCGTAGCTTGGAACCAGCGAATATGAGGTAAAATAGCAAATGGGTAATATTAAATCTGTAAAAAAAAGATCTAAACTTTGGATAGTGAACTTATAGTACTCACAAACCCATTAAGGTGAGGAGTAAAGCCATCAGACAGCTAGCCAAAATGGCAATACAATCATAGTTCTCAGCATTTGGCTCTCTGCTGATCATCAATATTGGTGGAGTGAGCAGCATCACCGCGAAATAGGGAAGCACAGTGATTAAGTCTATATCCTAAAAGCAGTTTCTTAGTGAAATCAGGAAAATACAGGGTATGTCACCCACCTTGACCACGCTGAACAGCAGAATCACATGGATGAGCATCAAAATCTCAACGATAATTATAACCTGTGTAGCAAGGGCCACGGAAATCAGAAGGCGGTGACGATGGTAAATGCCTTCTAAACGCAATTCGCGACACTTGTACTGCAATTTAATGTTGATATAGGGTAGCAAATATTATATTAGTTAATATACCCGCAGCAATTTCCACTCCAAGCCTGGCATGTTGCCCAGCGAAAGGTAGTCCACCACATTTTCGTTGTAACCTGGATCCATTTCGGAGGTGTATTTACAAAATTATACAATTTTGTTCAAATTATAGACATAAAAGTAAAAAAGAATATGATATATTTTTATTTTTTAAAGACCTTGTAATTTTATAAACGGAAAACAAAGATTTTATTTGATTTTTGAAGTAATTGTGAATTCTGCTTAAGTTTTTTAACAAATTAAATTTTGTAAAAATATTTTAAAAAGTGTGGCATACTTTTTATGTGATCAGCATCAATATGCAATGCTGGCCACACTGTATTTTACCGCAAATATAAAATACGGCTAGCCAAAAACTAGGTCAGAAAAAAAGCAAACATTTAGATGAGTTAAGAATAAAGCCTTGTAACTGAAATCCAAATTGTCAAGATCTTTTTATCTACCACAATTTACAAATGTTGGCTGTCGGTCGCATGCGGGATCCTACAGGACAGTTAAAGGCCTGGTAAAAGTCTTCGTTGCTCATTAAGGAGGCCAGAGCTTCGTTCTTATCGTGAATGCTATCGGAGCACCTCAACTGAGTGGCTCCAAGGAAGAAGAGCTGATTCGGCGAAAGGTGGAGTCCTGGTATCGTTTCGTTGATCTTGTCCCTCTTAGAATCCTTCAGAAGAATCGCTATGTGTCTTTGATAGGCGGAAAAAGACAGTCGCAATGTATCAAAGCCGACGATGTATGGGGTGTATTTCTTCATCTTGCCATTTAAACTCAAACCTTTATTGTGGTAATCCTCAAAGCACCGACGGCCTTCGTCATATTCGTCATCAAATTTATATTCCCTGAGGAAGTGGACCGCGAGCACACTACCAAAGGCGCCGAATTTTAGGGACAGGGGCCAAGTGGAGTGGTAATTGGGTGGTTGCAAATGAGTGACAGTGCGTTGGATGTCAGCTAACATAGTTTCTGGTAGTTTCGAGAGTTCGGAGAGTTCGTCCGTGTGACGGGTGTTGTACCTTCTGATCTCAACAACCAGGCGATGCATATTTATGTTGGTTGCAGCGTAACTATCCCTGACTATTTCCAGACGGTCAATCTCCGGGATCAGGCAATCGAGCCAACTGACCCAGCTAAAGTCGAGGGGAGATTTATGAAGCTGATTTTCGTTCAATTTCCCTGATTCCAAACAATCGGCTTCCCGCGGCGAACATCTCAGGGTCTTCCACACTTCTTCCCCTGTTTTTAATACTTCCAGCTTTGCTTCCTCAAACGAATGCTCCTGTTCAAAACAAATAGTAGTCAATATTAATTTAATATAATGCATAATAATGTCAAAATATTACGAAATTTAACATTTTTGCGATTTGTAAATTAATAAGAATGTTCTGAAAAAATAATTATTAATTTGAAAGTTGAATCTTTGGTAAGCAAAACTCACGGTTAAATATAGTTTGTTAAGAAGGGATACCGTTGAGGTTCGCACTGCTCTTTCGCAATAATCTCTTTGCTGTTCCGTGCTATTAAGTTTTCCATCGAATGTGTAGAGCAGCTTCATGGCCAGATAATTGGCCACAGCCTCAGGATACCGGGCACACACTTTGTCCAACTCCACGAAGTAGGAATCACAGGATTCAGGAACTCTTGTTTGGTTCCAGACAATCTTATAGTACACCCAAAAAAAAATGATCATAGAAAGTAAACTATTTCTACATTAAAAGTAAACTATTGAGTGTCAAAAATTTCTCGATACTCTGAGTATTAAACTAATGGACTTCGAAAGTATAAAAATGAAACTTTCGAAGTTGTCAAGTTTAAACTAACGAGTATACAGTTTATACTCACTCAGTGTACTGAAATTCAGGCTGCTAGTTTATTTTGTATACTATTTAGTATAATGCCAGTATAAATATTATACCCCCCGTATTAAAGAGACAAAATTTAAAAAATGTTGTTTTGTACTTTTCATATATTATAAAACATATTTTTTACATTTTTATAAATTACTGAAGGTAATTTTTAATTTAACAAATAATATAAATACAATACATGTACAAAATATGTACGTATGTATGCATATTTGGGCAAATGCCGTTTTACCGCTTATGTCGCTGATCATCTCCAGAGTGAACGCCGTCAAGATGAATAACAAATCTTGGTCGAGGACGCTGATATTGAAGTTAACATTGCGCTGGCCGCGGTCAGAAAAAATGCAAGCCAATTGCAAGATCCTTAGTTTTCCGGCATCTGGAGCGCAACTCAAGGTGGTGTCCGTAAAAAGAAAAGAATTTACTCATTAGTTATGCACTAAGACACAATTTAAATGTACTTACATTTCAAATAAGCCCAAAATAAGCAAATATTAAAATTTTCACAAGTAATTTTCACAAACAAACCTTAAACAGACCGCAGCGTCGTTTACAAAATACACTAATGTAAAACCCTTAAAATACTAACGCGTCCGAATAGCATTAAAAAGCGGTAACACTTTTTCTGTTCGAAATGTCCAGGTTCCAAACCAGAGCATCCTGGCTTCACACCAGGAACGAAAACCGAAAACTTCGGTATAGAAATTAAACTCAGGACATAAACTTAACACTATTTAGTCTTAACTTAACACTATTGAGTCTGCTCCTTACATTATTTAGTTTTAAATTAATACTGACAGTTTGATACTAGCTGTAGTATACTTTTAATACAACGCGTATTAACTGTAAACTTTCGGATTTTTTTTTGGGTGTAGTTATCTTCGAAGATTTTGCAGTTTCCATCTTCCTGGAATTTCCTTTCCACCCCCAGCGCCTCACGCCAGAATGCAAATACACCGTCAATCACCCCTGCAATTTTATCCTCAGGCAACTGATATGATCTTAAGTATCCGCGCATGACCTCCTCATTGTGTTCATGGGCAGTATCGTAATATTTAAAACCCATAAATGGTTTTAGAGAGTTCAAGTAAGGCTGAAAAGGATATTCCCAAGAGATCCTTTCAGCGATCAGACCATCTACTCCGTAATTGGTCATGTGTGCGCTCATGTTGAACCAGCTGAAGTTTGAGGCATTCCAAGAGGCCCCGTCGACGGCCGGGAAACCTCCGATCGAGTGAATTACTTCTAGGTAATATGGATCGGCAGCAGGAAAGGGGTGGAGATCAGCTTCCTGGCAGGCATTGTAGAATCTTTGGGCCAGCCTAAGTTCGCTGGACACATTGAGGGACTCCGCCAGATCCACCAAACCCAGTAGATGTTTCGTCTTGCCTACCAGATGATCCGTAACGTGATCCCAATCGATATACACGTTCCGTCTTCGTTGCGGGGAGAGGCTTCCATAATTCCCACAGGCGTACTCATAAAAGTCATCACAAGGTGCTACACTCAAGTTCATGTAGGACTTCATTAGATTGCCATAGGACTCTAGGCTCCCATTCTCATCGCACTTCGCGGAATATATAAGTAGAAGCAAAAAGATCACTAGTCTAAGTAATCTCAATTCCATGTTAAACAACCAAAGTGGTTTTCCAAACTTATGAGCCGACCGTTTAGACTGAGAACACAAATTTATACTGCCAGCTCTTTTCAAAACTGACCCCTATATACATGCCCAGATTGGATACAAGTTTTTTAAATAAACATTTTTTATAAAAACTATCAAAAAGTGTGCGATAACGTTTCGCGATTTAAAAAAGTGGAACGCCAAACTTTTGCTTGCGATAAGGCCAATGGTATTTTTTTCTCCCATTGTGAAAGGCCAAACTACAATTCGACTTACGTAAATCTGACCCTTATCTCAAAGACTTCGTAAAATAATAGAATAATAACGGAGCTCGGTACCAAATTTCAATATTTTGCACTCCATTTTCTTATCCGACATTATGCCGCCCTTTATCTTCAAAAGTTGGTCGTTTAAAATTGTTTAAATCTGCTTATTCGTTAAAAAATTCTGTTTGAATTTTACAACCATTTACCGCATAAAGTTAGAACACATTTTCCAGCATTTTTAATTAATTAAATTAACATTTTGGAGGTGTATATACAAACTCATAAAATTGTGTTCAAATTATAGAAATAAAAGTAAAAAAGAATATGATATATTTTTATTTTTTTAAGACCTTGTAATTTTGTAAACGGAAAACAACGATTTTATTTTATTTTTGAAGTAATTTCGAAAAAGTGGGCCATAAAAAATCAATCCTGAATGCGAAGACCTTTTAATTTACACTAAATCACATAGTTTGGCTGTAGGTCGCATCTTGGATCCAACAGGACAGTTAAAGGCCTGGGACACATTTTCGCTGGTCGCAAATGAGGCCACAACTAGCAACCTAGCTAAATCGTTGGGTCTGGAGCAGAAACCCTGAGTGTATCGAAGAAAGAATAGCTGATTCGGGGAAAGGTCGAGTCCTGGAATCGTTTCGTTGATCTTCTCATGCTCAGAATCCTTCAGCATATTCTTTAAGTGGATTTGATAGGCAGAAAATACCAGGCGCATGTTTATGATGATATTTTCATACTTCCACTTATTGTCATTACTCACATGACCATTGGAGAAATCCAAAACGCACTGCACGCGTTTATTATAATCTTTGCCATCATTATCATAATCATAATTGATAAAGTTGTTTTTGAAGATATACCCCGCAAGCAATCTACCCAAGACGGCGAATTTTAGGGAAAACGGCGAAGAGGAGTCGTAAACGGGGGGTTCCAAAAGTAGAACAATGCGACCTATGTCAAATAACATAGATTTTGGTAACTTGGAGGATTCGGGAAGTTCGTTAATGTGACGGCTGATGTACCTCTTGATCTCAACAATCAGGCGCTGAATTTTTACGTTGGTTTTAGCGTAACTATCATTGGCTATTTCCACGCGGCCAATTTCCGAGACTAGGCGATCGAGCAAATTTTCCCAGTATAAGTCGATGGGAGGGTCCCTGAGCAGGTCTTCATTTCGATCCATCCCGTTCAACCAATCGGCTTCATGCAGCGAAATTCTTAGGCTTGTCCTTACATCCTCCGCAATTTTCAGCACTTCCAGCTTTGTTTTCTCATTAAAATGCTCCTGTAATGTGAATAAGAGTAAGATTTGAGTGCTTTTTCTAAATATTTTGATTAACAAAAAAAATAGGTATACTATTTAACTAATATTAAATCCACACAGTAGAGAATTTACTGTATTTTACTAATATTAAATTCATACAGTGGAGAATTTAATTTTAGTAAAATAGTATAATTATTTTTTTTAACTCACCGCCAAATAAAGTTTGTTCAGAAGAAACACCATTGAGCTGCGCAGAGTTCTGTCGCAATAATCTCGTTGTTGATTAGAGTTCTGAAGTTTGGGATCGAATGCGTAGAGCAGCTTCATCGCCAGATAATTGGCCACAGCCTCAGGATGCCGGGCACACACCTTGTCCATCTGCTCGAAGTACACATTACACACTTCCTTGGTTGTGTTCTGGTTCCAGACGATCTTGTAGTAGTTAGGCTCGAAGATTTCGCAGTTTCCAGCTTTCTTATGTTCGCTATCGACTTCAAACGCCTCACGCCAGAATGCAAATACACCGTCGATTACCTCTGCAATTTTATCCTGAGGCAATTTAAATGCTCTTAAGTATTTGCGCATGACTTCCTCATTTTGTTCATAGCCAGTAAATCTTTTACTGTCGGTGTAATACGTGCTAATAAAGTGGTTGATCCCCAGAAATGCCCGTTGAAAGTCCAAGTATGGCGGATAAGGATATCCCGGATGGATCCTTTCAGCGATCAGACCTTCTACTCCGTAATTGGTCATGTGGACGCTCATGTTGAACCAGCTGAAGTTTGAGGCATTCCAAGAGGCCCCGTCGACGGCCGGGAAACCTCCGATCGAGCGAATTACTTCTAGGTAATATGGATCGGCAGCAGGAAAGGGGTGGAGATCAGCTTCCAGGCAGGCATTGTAGAATCTTTGGGCCACCCTAAGTTCGCTGGACACATTGAGAGACTCCGCCAGATCTACCAGGCCCAATAAATATTCCGTCTTGCCTAACAGATGTTCCGTAACCTCATCCAGTTCGTTATCGATCTCCTCTTCTTGCTGGTGAACATTTCCGCAGGCGTACTCATAAAAGTCGTCACAAGGTGCTACACTCAGGTTCATGTAGGACTTTATGACATTCGCATAGGACTCTAGGCTTTCATTCCCATCGCCCTTCGTGGAATATATTAGTAAAAGCAAAAAGATCACCAGTCTAAGTAATCTTAATTCCATGTTAAATAACCAAAGTCGTATTCCAAACTTATGAGCCGACCGTTTAGACTGAGAACACAAATTTATACTGCCAGCTCTTTTCAAAACTGACCCCTATTTATATGCCCAGATTGGAACTTGAAGTGCCCATATATGGTCAAGTTTTTCAAATAAATATTTTTATAAAAACTATTAAAAAGTGTCCGATAACGTTTCGCGATTTAAAAAAGTGGAACGCAAAACTTTTGCTTGCGATAAGGCCAATGGAATTTTGTTCTCCCATTGTGAAAGGCCAAACTATAATTCGACTTTAGGGTTGAATATAAAAAACAAGAAAGGAAGCTACCTTCGGCCAGCCGAAGCTTATATACCCTTGCAGATAAAGTAATGCTCACTCGGTGCAGTTCCAGGGCCAGATTCAGCGTTTCTACTTAAATTTTGTTTTAAAGTAGTCAAGAATCAAAACGCCTACTTCCTAAAAAGTTACAATGAATTTTCTCATATTTGTTTGAATATTCCTATGGAAGCCCTAAGATATAGTGGTCCGATCTGGCTCGCTCCGACATATGTACTACCTGCAATAGAAAGACGACTGTCGGTAAAGTTTCATCGCGATAGCTTTAAAACTGAGAGACTAGTTCGCATAGAAACGGACAGACGGACAGACAGACAGACGGACAGACGGACAGACGGACATGGCTAGATAGACTCGGCTATTGGTCCTGATCAAGAATATATATACTTTATGTGGTTGGAAACGTCTCCTTCACTGCGTTGCAAACATCTGACTGAAATTATAATACCCTCTACAAGGGTATAACTAGAGCACGTGTGTGTAAATGAACCTTATCTTTGTATAATAAATTATTAACAATGGAATAATAACGAAGCTCTTCATAAAATTTTAATATTTGGTACTCCATTTTCTTATCAGCCAAAATATTAGTGGTTTTTATATGTAAGTGTTTTTTAAATAAACATTTTGAATAAAAACTAAACTGTGTGCGATAACGTTTCACGATTTGAAGAACTGGAACGCTAAATTTTTGTATTGCGATAAAAGCCAAATCACCACTCGATCTAAGATTAAAAATATAAAAGTTAAATATATAAACAAAAGCGTTGGTTTAACAAAATGTTATCTTTTTATAATTTTAAAATATTACATTTCACAATTAGATTTAGCTTAATGATATTAAATTTTTCTCTATGAAAAACTTTAAAGATTGGAATATATTTTTTTTGGGTGGTTTGGTCAGAGTAAAATTGTTCCTTTACAGAGACAAAATTAAAAATCTTTTATTTACCACAAATGACAAGTGATGTTTGTGGGTCGCATCCCGGATCCTACAGGACAGTTAAAGGCCTGATAAAAGTGTTCGTTACTTGCAAGGGCGGCCATTGCTAAGACCTTAAGAAGTTTTATGCCATCAGCGCACAACACCTGAGTGGCTCCAAGAAAGAAGAGCTGATTCGATGAAAGGTCGAGTCCTGGCATCGTTTCGTTGACCCTCTCCTGCTTCGAGTCCTTCGGAAGATGTTCTATGTGCCTTTGATAGGCAGAAAATGCGAGTCGCAAAGTATCAAATTGCATGATTTCTTCCTCGCGCCACTTGCTGTCATCTGAACTCCACAGATTTTTGTAGTAATCCCTAAAGCACTGACGACGTTCAACATATCCCTGTTTATCTCTTAAGATGTTCTCGGGTAAATAGTTCGCAAGCACACTACCCAAGGCGCCGAATTTTAGGGACAACGGCCAAGAGGGTTCGTAAACGGGTGGTTGCAAAAATTTAACAATGAGGTGGATATTTTCCGGTAACTTGAAGAGTTCGTTAGTGTAACGGGTGTTGTACTTATTGATGTCAACACTAAGGCGTTGAAGATTTATATTGGTCGCAGCGTAACTATCATCGACTACTTCCAGGCGGCCAGTCTCCGAGATTAGGTAATCGTTAAGTAAATTGGCACCGCTAAAGTCGAGGATAGACTCCTTGAGCAGTTCACCCTTTCGATCCTCCGAGTTCAACCAATCGGCTTTTACAAGCGAACTTTCCATGCTCTGCCTTACTTCCTTCACAATTTTCGACACGTCCAGCTTTGTTTCCTCAGTAAAATGCTCCTGTACAGAAAAAATAAGATTTATATAAATTTGATATTATTAAGCAATCTTGTAATATTTTATATATATATTTTACTAGATAAGTATATATACATATATATACTATTTTTTTTAGCAAAATCCATTTTTATACCCATTATTTATTATTTATTTATTTATTATTATTATTTTATAAATTTTATCTTTGGTCCGCAAGACTCACCTCCAAAAATAGTTTGTTGAGAAGGCCCATCATTGAACTGCGCAGAGTTCTGTCGCAGTAATATTTTTGCTGTTTTGTGTCCTCAAGCTTGGCATCGAATGCGTAGAGCAGTTTCATGGCCAAATAATTGGCCACAGCCTCAGGATGCCGGGTAACCACTTTATCCAACTCGACGAAGTAGGAATCACACGAATCGTGCTCCTTTGTCTGGTTCCAGACAATCTTGATGTAGTTATCTTCAAAGGCTGTGCAGTTTCCATTTGGCGGAAATTCACTTTTCTCCCTTAGCGCATCACGCCAGAATGCAAATACACCGTCGATCACCTCTGCAATTTTATCCTCAGGCAATTTAAATGCTCTTAAGTATCCGCGCATGACCTTCTCATTCTGTTTATAGGCAGTCGATCCTTTACTCCAGATATTGAGCGTGTTTACGTAGGGGTTGAAACCCAAAAGTGTCCGTTCAAAGTCCAAGGAAGAGCTAAAGGGATAGTCCCAGAAGATCTCCTCGCCGATCAGACCCTGTGCCCCGTAATTGATCATGTGGGCGCTCATGTTGAACCAGCTGAAGTTTGAGGCATTCCAAGAGGCACCATCGACGGCAGGAAAGCCTCCGATCGATCGAATTACTTCTAGGTAATATGGATCGGAAGCAGGAAAGGGGTAGAGATCAGCTTGCAGACAGGCATTGTGGAATCTTTGGGCCACCCTAAGTTCGCTGGACACATTGAGGGACTTCGCCAGATCCACCATACCCAATAAATGATCTGTCCGTAAATGATCCAGGCGTTTCCTGAAGTCAAACGGGTCGGTATACAAGTTAAATCTTTGTTGCGCGGAGAGGCTTCCAAAATTTCCGCAGGCGTACTCATAAAAGTCATCACAAGGTCCTACACTCAAGTTCATGAGGGACTTCATTAGATTGCCATAGGACTCTAGGCTTTCATTCCCATTGCCCTTCGTGGAATATATAAGTAGAAGCAGAAAGATCACCAGTCTAAGTAATCTTAATTCCATGTTAAACAACCAAAGTGGTTTTCCAAACTTATGAGCCGACCGTTTAGACTAAGAACTCAAATTTATACTGCCAACTCTTTTCAAATCTGGCCCCTATTTATATGCCCAGATTGGAACTGTAAGTGCACATATATGGTCAAGTTTTTCAAATAAATATATTTTATAAAAACTAATAAAATGTGTGCGATAACGTTTCGCGATTTATAAAAGTGGAACGCCAAACTTTTGCGATAAGACCAATGGAATTTTGTTCTCCCATTGTGAAAGGCCAAACTAAAATTTCGAATATAAAAAACTAGAGCACATGTGTGTAAATCTGACCCTTATCTCAAAGACTTTGTATACTAATGGAATAATTACGAGTTTTTTTAAATATTTGGCGCTCAATTTTCTTATCGCCGCCCTTTATTTTAAAAAGTTGATTGCTCAAAAATTGTTCAAACCTGATCATTTCTTAAAAAATTCTGTTTGAATTTTACAACGATTTACCACATAAAGTTAGAAACTTTAATGATTTAAATTCTCCAAAATTTATCCAACTAGAAAATGTCTTATCTATGGTATGTATATACACGGGTTTTCCTTAGTTTCTAAATCTCTGGTAAATTCAGCTAGTCTTCTTTGTTTGCCGCTGGCGATGGGCGATGCGGCAGGAACTGGTATTCGCTGTCGGTGCCGATGATGTAGGTGGGTATGTTGCCACGCCCCTTGACGAAGGTCATGCCCCTATAGTTGCACTGGATGTTGAACTCCCTCAGTTTGAGGGCCGTGTTCTCGGTGACTTGGATCTGACCTGGAACCCCAGTGGAGTCCATTCGCGAGGCCATGTTGACAGGATTCCCCCAGATGTCGTAGTGCGGCTTCGAGTTGCCCACCACTCCGGCCATCGCCCTACCATGCGAAATTCCAATCCTCAGCATTCCATAGTCGGTGCTTCCCTCGTACTCCGTCTGCATATTCTCTGTGTTGAACCTCCTCATGGTTCTCATCAGATCGAGAGCGAATTCAGCCATCACCCTCACCACCTCATTGCTACTGCTCGCATTTTGGGTGGTACTGATCCTTGGTCCACTACTCGTAATCACATTACCCTCGTATTGACCTCTTTCTAGGTCAAGATCCAAAGCTATGTTGCTACCATTTCCGTAGGGAACACGCTGCACTCCATCCGTATTGGAGGTGCGAGCTCCATCGTAGCGACTTCTTCGGCCATTCGGCATCAGCGATACATTCCTGAACTTCATCTGGGGGGCATTTACCTGCTCCGAACGAGAAACATCCAGGCCACAGGCCGCCATATAAGTCCAATTGGCCACCTTGATCTTCTCCACGCGCAGACTTTGCGAGTATTTGTTTAACTGGAAAAGGGAAATAAATGTATAAGTTCAATATCTAATACAAAATCCTCGACAAATAGAAAGTAACTTAATAAAAAAAAAAAATTTTTTTTTTTTTATTTAAACAATTTTTTTTTTGTTTATTTATATTTTGGTTTTGAGACAATTATAAATGGCCCCAACCAATTAAAACCTAAATATTTTAAGTCAATTGATTGTGTTCATTATTTTATACATTTTTTTTTTTTTTAGCATTTTTATTTGTCTTATATTCATTAAAATATCTCCCTTATAAAATGCTGATTAAAATACTTTCAAAAATTCCAGTATTTTTTATAAGTATAATTCTACCCCTTCGATTGAAAACAAGTAGCATTTATCTCAAAAATCCACAGATAAAAAGTTACTATTATCTAATTCAACTCACACTTTGGATATAAGGCACTTCTTTCTACTAAGATACGATAAGATTGCCAGACTGTAGTAACTCAGTCACTAAATTTAGGCATTTAATTTCTGTAGGGGATTCACTTGACAATTTCAGTTGACTACTCACCACATCGTCAAAGTCGCAGATAATCTCGTTCAGCACCCGCAAACCGATCTTGTCGGTGTCGAAGTTTTTGATGGAGGCAAACATGACGGCCACATTGTCGTACTCCTCGTAGTAGAGCTCATTTTGCAGTTGGTTGGAGAGATAGAAGTCGGCTGGATGGGTATATAAATTAGTATAGATTGTAATCTTGAGTATATAAATATTTCAGTGGCCACCAGCAGAGGAAAAGCAACTGTGTGAGTTGGCAGCGCAGCGGTAGAGCAACCACTGATTTATAGGAAAACCTACCAACATGGGTGGGCAAAATATTGGTTAGTAGAACTTTGATGGTGTCATTGGTGATCAAGGCATCCTCCTGCTTTTTAAGTAGTTGTCTTTTCCAGCTGTTCAATTAGTAATATGTTAGTAAATCTTCTTATAAACTATACAGTAACTTCACTTACTTGTAATCCACTTTGGCTATAAACTCCGTTTGCCGCTCCATCAGATGAAAAATGCCAAAGGTGATGAGCATCAAGAGAATATGCGAGTATCTCGCATTGAAGTTCACATTCGTCGAGGGACTATTGGCGTAGATATAGTTGAATTCAAAAACCACCAGCACCGCATAACCAATCAATATTAGGGCAGAAAAACACGACTTGATGATAAAGGGAATCCTTGTAAACAGAAACGACATGCCAATTACGAGGGTCATGCAGTTAGTCAAGATCTGCAGAGAAAGTATACAATGTAATGGAAGTGTTAATTATGGATCTATGGGGATTTCCCCACCCAAGGATGAAAGCACTGCACCCGCTCGTCGTAACTCGGCTCCAGATCCCCGTAATCCTCATCGCTGCTGCAGCCGACCACTTGCATTATGGCCACCGCGCAGTAGGAGAAGATTATCAGGAAATACATCACTATCCTGATGACCACATTCCGCTGCATTTCATCCGAGAGGCGAAAGAGGAAGCCACTCATCCTGCCATTTGGCGAGGTCACATCCGCATCGGACATGTACATGATCCAGAGTTTCTTGTACCAGGATACAATCAATAGCATGGTGAGCAGGATTATGGTGGTTCCATCTATGTACCAATAGTGATAGCGGGCACTAAAAGAGAAAAATCCTTTTATAAGATTATCTTTCTTTTAGGAATTGGTTATACTTACTCCTTGCTTAGCAGTTGGATAGTCAGCAGACCCATGTATATCGCCCAGGATAGAGCAATACTGTACTTGAGCATCACATCTGGCTCCTGCATATACTGGAACTCCCAGTTGCGAATGCGAAAGAACAGGCAACAGGAGCTGATATTCCGTCGAAAGGTCTCCTCCTCGATTTCATCCTGGGTCAAGCGAGTGCTTCGCCGGAATACTTTTGTGAGTCTGAAAAATAAAAACCATTTAATTTAATAAATCTATAAAGGTAAATGTGTCAAAAGCCTGGTTTAAAAGATGTCTCTACCGCTGCTCTGCCACTCTTCTGCCAACATACACAGTATACAATACGGAATTTAAGGCACAGGTTACACAGAAACGCAGACAGAAAATCAATTACAAATGTTCACAGAAAAACATTGTCAAATATCAAATTAAAATGCGCTGGTCAATTTTATGTTTTTTTTAAGATCAAGTTATTCATATCGTTTATATATGAATAAAGATTATGTTTATCTCATTGTTTATTAATTGTACAAAAAAAACTTCATTTGGTATTTCTTATGATATGATAAAATATCATGTTGGTATGATTGCATCATAAATTTGACATAAATCGTATAGTATTTTTATTGATATGAAATAAGGTAGAATTGACCCTATTTCATATCGAATATTCGTATAGATTTTTAGTAAAGACCACTCACTGTATCCTCCCAATGGGCATCTTGTCCAGTTCCCGGCACATCTCCAGCTTGGCCTGGTTGCGCACCTGGTTGTACTGATGAAGGGTCGAATTGTGCATAAAGTTGGCCTTGCTGGCCTCGCTGAGCTTCTTGGCCTGCCGCTCCCTCATCCTGCGACGCGGGTCGTGCATGGGGGCCTACAACTTTCGGTTCGATGTAATGGTGCTGGCGAAGATCAAAGGATTTTTGTTCACGAGAAATACTCACGCGCATTGATTTGATCAGGAAGGTGCGAATGCCGTGCTTCTGGAGCACCGGATCCTCTCGAGCCTTTTCGGTGCCATCCTCGTAGAAATACTCGCCATCCAGCAGAGAGAGAGTCTTCTGGCTAACATGTACCCTTCCAGTGGCTCCAGTGGCCTCCAATCTATTGGCGATATCCACGTCCTTTGACCAGATGTCAAACTGCCACTTGGCTGCTCCTATTACTCCAGAAAGAACATCGCCGGAGTGAACCCCAATTCGCATATCGATATTCAGATGTCGCTTCTCCCTAGAATTTTTCAGAATTTAGTGTTTTTATATTTTATTTAATTTTTATATTATTATATCCTCACATGTCACCTCATATAATCTCATATCATCTTATATCATATCATATTTATATCATCCCTAGAATATTACAGAATTTATAAATAAACGTTTTACTTCCCACTAAAATGACCACAAAGTCCATTAATATCAAGTTATTTTATAAGATCCCTAAAAGCTTAAAGAATTTATTTTCCAATTTACATTTATAGCATTTTCCAAAATATAAAGCTAACTTGCTCTTGAACAACTTGAACTTTAATAGGCATTTATAAGTCCATTTATGGGCTTACCTTAGGCAAGGCCATAAAATATTCATTTGAATTCGCATGTCTTATCAAATTTCGGTAAAGTACTTGGAATAAATATGACCTCACGTTTATCAAGCCACGTAATTTCTAATAAACTGGTTAAATTCAAAACAAGAAATAGGGAATTATAAAAGTAATTTCTAATGTACACATTCCTTTAGTTCCAGTTTGCTAGATTTGATTAACGAAATTCTCTAATCGCAATCAATAATCACGGCGTTCATCCGGCCAAATAAAAAATTCAAAACCGATTAATCAGTAGTGACTAATCACAACTTGGCTAATGACTTTTATAATTTTTAAAGCAGCTGGAACAAGCTGTACCCACCTGACATCGCGAATGTCCTTGATCATCCTGAGACCCAGATCTACACAGCACTTGGCGTGATCCGCATTGGGATTGGCCAACCCGGCCACGCAGTAGTAGCAATCGCCCAGGAACTTGATCCTCAGCACATTGTACTCCTCGCTGGCACTGTCGAAACGCACGAAGAGATCGTGCAGAGCTTCCACCAGCTTTTTCACATCCAGAGTTGTGGTCAGATGGGTGTAGTTAACCACATCTGCGTAAAGTACGGTGACATCATCGTGGGGCTCTATAAAGAGGGTGCTGCAAAAAGATATATTGTATAGTTGAAATAAGGAAAAGATCTATTGATTTAAAATCTCTTGTAAAGCTGTCTAAAAGTATGCAATGAGAAATGAATTTCCGGTCTTATAATTTATTTTGTATATTTTTTTTCACCTTAATAATTTCTTTAATAATTTCTTTAAAGATGTAGAAAAGAAATGGCGGAATGGTTCTAATATCACTATGATTTAGATTTCTTTATGAAGGTGTCTAAAAGTATGCAATGGAAAAGGAACTACCAGACTGCAGGAATTTAAATAAATTATTGCCTTCTTTTAAGCACCTTTACAAAAGATTTCAATAACCTTCTGATTCGTTGGTTTCCTCTATACTCACCCATGATCTGGCTGCCTCCACCTCTTCAGAGTCTGACTATCCGCACTCCTTCGCAGATCCACCTGTGATCGCTGTTGATGCTGCTGCTTGGATCTCTCTATGCGGTTTTTCACATCCTCCTGCAAACGATCCGCAATTTGGGAGGGTAAAATGCTCAGCAGAAGACTCCTTTCCTGATCCCTAGCATATCGCAATAGCAAATTCTCCTCCACATATTGTCGACGATCCAGGAAAGTCGTTCGTAGCGCTATATCCCTCATGAGGCGAAAGAAAATCCCCAGCAGATTGACGCAATTCAGGTAGATGGCCTCATTCAGGATGCTGTGCATCTGATTATCATCTTTGGCGGTGATCACAAAGCTATAGTTTATGATGTAGCACAAAGTGACTGCCGATCCCAAAACAAAGGGTTGCAGGAGATACGGAACCGGCATGAACATATAAATGGCATACAGGGTGTACGCATCGTAGATCGGATTCAGAATGTAATTATGACTGGTGGCATGGTAGACATTCAGGCCAATATCCATGAGGACCATCACACAAACTGCCAGCCAGGAGGTGGCATAAACCACCCAGCCATGCTTGCTCACCAGATCGCTGCGGAAGTTCACCGAGAGCACCACCCAAATGACCAATCCGGAGCACATATACGCCACCATGTCCACGTATACGTACTTAATCTCCGGCGTGGTTAGCAGGAGGAGCGTATGGATCACAGTCACCGCCACATGGATGAAGATAAACAGGGAGAGGTAGCCAACACGCAGGCGCCGCATGTACAAGTCGTACGACTCCTCCAGCTCCAAATTGCGACATTTTCTCTAGGGGATTATCGTGAAAAGAAGGTTGGTAAGTAGAATTGGGGAGTTGATTTCTTATATCTAAAATTCTAGGGATCAAAATGAAGGTAAGTTCTGCTAATATAAATCTCTACACCCAGAAAAATTGAGAATACAAAATATTTAAGATCAAATATTTTTAATTTGATAACTATTCGATTTTTTAAAAAATCTCTACACCCAGGAAAAATGACAATACAAAATATCTAGAGCAAAAGTTCTTAGTTCAAGAAACTATGTCTTTTTCAAGAAGAAACTTTCTTAAAATCAAGAAGAAAATTATCTCTAATTTGTTATTACGCAGGAAAGAGATGAATAGAGAGATAAAAGACCTATTGATTTTGATAATTGGAGATTGAACAGATCTTTGCTCACTTTTGAGATCATAAGAAAGGTTTTGGTAACTGTTTTTTTTTAGTCTATAAGTATTGCTAAAATGTTTACGATTTAGATATATGTATATATTTAGCGCTCTTTTCTCATAGCTATAAGTATAGATTAAGTTTATTGTTAACGTCGCACTCAGAAGTGCCTTGGTACTTTACTAATATAGTTGTCATCATTAACCTTAATAGGAATATGAACGAATGTTCCTTTGAGAGTTTCTTATCGCTCGAGAAAATCCATCGATAATAAAACTTGCTTTTAAGTTGTGTAAATAATATGTAACTTAGACTGTTATATTAAATATGTAATTTTGATTTTCTCAGGAAGTTATTAGCTATTATAATTTATCAAATGTTTCTTATTAGAGATAAGATATAGAACACCATTCCTTGTTACAATATTGTCTTTTTTTAGAACTTTGCATTCAGTTGCATTTTTGCTAATTGAGATTTGAGTGTTGGCTTATAAAGATTGGTCGCTGTCTATAAAGATAAAGTATGGCCCATATAAAACTTTCCATTCCTACTTCAAATTCAGATATAGATCCATTCAAAAATATGATCCACTCACCACTAGATATGACCATTCCCAGTTCTTCTCGTTCTGCACCGTTTGGGCCTGTTCACTCGTTCTGGCCAAACTGATGGGATTGGTTCGATTGTATTCGATGGCCGAGTCGAAGTACGAGTCCATGATACCTCCAGATGGAATGGGATGGGTTGGGTTTGGGATGGGAATCAGAGTAACTGCAGCGGGATCATTTTCGGTGGCAGCTATCCACAATCAGAGGAATGGTATCACCTATTATCGGATCAAACAATTAGCCACAAAGCTACATATCAGCCATTCGGTTCCAGCAGCAACAAAATCCCCAATAAGCATTGAATTCAGTCGCTTATCGGGTAGCACAAAAAAAAGAACAGAAAATAGTGGGAGGAGTGTGTAGCATCACTGATAAAAATAGGTAGTGAATCCAAAGATTTCATTTTTAATTTCATTAATATTTTCATCTATGTTTTTTTTTTTTGAATTTTAAATATGAAAAAGTAAACAGTTAAAAAAATTAAAGTAAATTTAACAATTTGATTTTATTATGAAATTCTTTAATCAGTTAAAATATTTAATTTAAATAAAATTTATAAAATATTCAATTTAAATATTTTTTCACTTTGTTTTTCATCTTATACGGTTTTTAATAATTTGAAATATGGAAATAAACAGTTATGCAATTATAGTTTTTAAATATTTTAAGCTCCGATTTTAATATGTAATTCTGTAGTATTATGACCTTAAATATTTTAAGTAATTAAGATTTACACTGTATTTATTATTTTCTAACTGGATTAAAATATTTTCAAATTAATTCATGCAATTTTATGTTTTGAATGTTGAATATTACGATTTTTATTTAAATAATTACTTTAAATATGTGGATTTATTTTTTTCAGTGATGTAGAACCTCTATGGGTTTCATTTTGGCTGCAAAAACAGCAGCTAATTTAGCAATTTGTCTAATGTGATAGTAATAGCTAATGGCTAATGGTCTGTAAATCACACTCACCCGCACTCGCGCACTCCAAATCGTCGCCAATATATAAATCGATCAGACGGAGTCCGTTTGCATTATCAGCTGCAGTTTCGAATGGAATATAAGTGGGGAAAAAGAGGAAGGATCACGGCTATATGGCTGTGTAATTTATTTATGGGCTTTGCACGTACGGCCAACGAATGGCACTTGAGGCGACCGATTTCGCACTTCACTTTCACGTTGGGTAATAAATACGATAATAATTAATAAAAAATTAACACCACTTAAGCGCGTAGAGCGCTTCAACAAGCCAATACAACACGGCGGACAGGTATCACAAATTACTCTTTTCTCTGCCGCGATAAGGCGTTCCGTTCCCGATTTCGATTTCCCAGCGAGTTAACTTAGAGCCGATATCTCTATATGCACGACCGGTGCGAACGAAGAGCTGCGACCAACTGAGGAGGAAATCGAAACACACCTGTCGTTCGAATCGCATTGTTGATGGCTGAGTGTTGAGAGTCGAGTGGCTTATCAGTGTGAAAAGTGTTTGGCGCTTGACGGCGCTTGATTGATGACACAGCTGTAGAGAGGTTATTTTTAAGGGGAAATTATTTACATATTCATTTCGATTGATTTTTTGGTTATTGAAAGTAATTTTTAGGGAATAATACTCTATAAGGCGTATAATTTGAATTCAAATTTGAATTTTTTGCCGCCTTAACAGCAGCTCCCTCTAGCGGTTAACGCTAGAAGCTTGGCTTTCCACCCCTGGTTTCACTGCTATTCAAACGGTCACACTAGTCACAGGATCTGGCAACTTTGTTTTAAAAACTACTATTTTCAAGTTTTTAAATGATTTCTATGGAATTTCAATGCCTTACACCGAAAGAAAAGGCCACCAAATTTTTCTTCACATGAGGAATGAGCTCAAAATGGAATATTAAAGTGAAACTAAAGAAAGGAATTTAGCCTTTGGAGGTTTATTTATTTAGTTTTAACTTAGCTGTATTTCCGGATTAGTGAATACTTATATGTTTTTGGAGTATCATTTATTTTCTTTTTTTAAAATTTCCAAATTTTAACTTTAAAGTTCTGTTATTTTAATTTACGCTCAAAAAATAAATTAAATTTGCTAGCTATGAAAATGATTTTATCGGCCATTTTTAAAATAGAGCAATACATCATTTGGAACTTTTTTTTTAAGCATAAACTCCTGCAACCTTTTGAAAAATATCTTTTTGAAAACTGATTTCCCGCCAAGCGTAGTGTGACCAGTTGCCCTTTGCCAGGCGATTTTAGTATTCTAGTCGGCAAGGTCATACCTTCGGTCCAAGCTGTTTATTTTCTAGCAGCTCGAAAAAACAAAATTGCAATTTCGTTCGATTTATTGAGGAAAATCGCCGGAAAAGCGGTGGAAAAACTCGCGCTACTGCCATGTCGGCCTTCACGGAGACGGCGCTGCTAAAGAAGCTGGCGGAGCTGAACAGCAGCCAGCAGAGCATCCAGACTTTATCCTTGTGGCTGATTCACCACCGCAAGCACAGTGCGTCGATTGTGAAGACCTGGCAGCGGGAATTGGAGAATGGTGGGTATTATATGGTATTCCCATCCTATATCTTATGATATATCATAATACATATATCCCCCCTTAGTTCCCGAGCCCAAGAAGCTGACCTTCATGTACCTGGCCAACGATGTGATCCAAAACAGCAAGAAGAAGGGTCCCGAGTACGGCAAGGAGTTTAACCACGTGCTGGGCAAGGTTTTCGCCCATATAGGCGAGAAATGCGGTTCGGACAAGCTCCTGGGCAGCCTGGGTCGCATCCTGAACATCTGGCTGGAGCGGGGAGTCTACGATTCCAAGGTTATTGCTGAATGGCGGTCGCGATTGCACAGGGAATCCTCTTCTAGTGGAGCAACTGCCTCCTCCAGCAGCAATGGAAAGCCCTCCAATGGCAGCAGTGAAAAGCAGGAGAAGCCCGAGAAGCATAAAGAAAAATCGGAGCGAAGGGAAAAGCGCAAGCACGAGGATCGCCACTCCAAATCGAAGCGTTCAAGGCATCAGGCTCAAAGCAGCGGCAGCAGTAGCTCCAATTATGCGCCTCAAGTGGAGGAGGCAGCTCCTGTGGAGCCGGAAAATGGCCACACGCCACCCTATTTGCCTTTGGGCGAGCCACCAGAGCCAGAGGAGCTCATTAAGGCCTTGACCAGCATTGAAAACTCCGCCTCGAGTGATGCAGTGGTGAGGGAGAGGATCGCCAAGCTGCCGCAGGAAATCTCCGAGATCAGCTGCATCAGCAAGCTGGAGGATAAGGACAAGGCCAAGGCTTTGGCGGTGCAGGTGGGTGAATTTTCATGTAATCCCTTAAGATTTGATCTAAATTCCTTCCCTCTCTTTCAGGTCAACGAAGCTGTGGATCTGCTGAACGATTACAACGCTCGACTGGCGGCGGAAATGGAGGAGCGCACCAAGTTGGCCACCATGCTGCGAGATTTTCAAGTGGAGCAGAAGGAGCTGCTCTCCCAGGCGGAGCTACGTCTCGATGTACGTTCTTCAAGCTCTTTTAAAAACTGCATGTCATATGGGGTTGTTAGATAAAGATTTTTATGGAGAAATTGGGTTGTTGTATACCAAAGAACTGTTAAAAATTAGTTTAACTACTGTATTTGTTATATTTGCTGTTGAAACCTTTCCAAATTCTTTTAATTTTTTTAGTCTTTAATTGTATGTTTATATTTTTATGCAGAAAAAGGCAAGCACCCTTTTATATCAAAGAACTGTTTAAAATTAGTTTACCCACTGTATATGCAATGATTTGCCTTTGAAACCTTGGCAAAATCTTTTAATTTCCCTAGTCTTTAATTGTATGTTTATATTTTCAATTAAAAACCCCTGAATATCTAATAGTAGTACCCCATTTAATATTTTAAAAACTGCATGTCATAAAGGCTTGTTAGATAAAGTTTCTTATAAAAAAAAGGGGTGTATGTACATCAAAGCACTGATTAAAATTAGTTTACCTACTGTATATGTAATGTTTTGCTGTTGAAACCTTGGCAAAATCTTTTAATTTTCCTGATTTATATTTTATTTGTTATATTTTCAATTAAAAACCCCTGAATATCTAATAGTAGTACCCCATTTAATTACCCGAGTACAAGCATCGTTGCCTAATCTGTGTCTCTCTTTGCAGGAACACAAGAAGAAGCTGGCCAAGATGTTGGGCCTGCAGAAGGAGATCCACGACCATCTCTCCAACCTGCCCGACTTGACCCAATTGCCCGATGTGACCGGCGGACTGGCGCCCCTGCCCTCCGCCGGCGATCTCTTCAACGCCCTGCATTGAAAACAGATACAGATACAGATCCTGAGATCCTTGAGAAGCCACTATAAGTCAAGCCTAGAGTTTATACATTTATTTGCAATTGTCCCCCGTTTACTCACTGATTGTAATCCAAACACACGTTTTAATTATAGCATCTATTTGCAAGCAACATTAAGATTTACTTAGTGCATCACGTAGTTCGCAGCTCCCTGCCACTTTTCGGTGAAGGATATAATGTCGGAAATCCCACTTCCCGGGGACATCTTCAAGGCCACCGAGAACTTGCTCCAGACATCGCGATTCACTTGGTTCGCGGACGCCTGAAAGGTCACCGGCTGACGACCGCGCACAGGAAAACCACTCAGCATGCAGGGCAAATCGCCGGAGGCCAAACTGGATTCGTACAGCCCACGATCATCGGTGGGAAGCTGCTGATCGACCTGCTGATCCATGCTTACAGCTAAGACCCACTCACGCACCTCCTCGTGGAGATTGGGATCATTCTTCAGATGGATATCCTCTGGCAAAGGCACGGAGCTGGGAAAATCGGTGCTAGCTAGATCGGAATGGTCCACCAACTGTCCGGAACCCTCTTCAATCGCTTCACAAACATCCAGATAGTGATTGAGCATCACAAAGGCCTCGGATTCGCGACCTGCCTGGCGGAGATCCATCCCAGCTTCATAGAAACCTTTATCGACTGGTAAAAGATCCGTGTGGCGTAGAAGAGCCAAGGATAAACGAAGGGCCACGGGTTGCAGAGCTTGAACTTCCTTACAAGCAGCTCGAATGGCATAGTAATGGGCTATCAGAAGGAACTGCTCCATGCTGGCGGAGAACTGGGATTGCTCAGGATTTCCTTTAAGAGATTGCAGCAAGCGGAACAGGAAATCCCTCAACTGACGCCACACCAAACCCGCCTCCGTTTGCTCCTCCCGCAAAGCCAAGCAATCCAAGGCGATCCTCGTGTAAATATTAAAGTGAGCCTCGATGGGAGGAGCACCATAGCTCAGGTAGAGATTCAAGGCAGTGATGCAGTTGCCCTCCCTTATAAGTTGAGCTGCATAGACTGCCACGTATTTCTGGAGCAGCGAGGGATTCAACTGCTTGGCCTTCTCCAAACAACGCTGCCATTGTCCTTGCTCCGCCAGAAGATCCAAGGCGGAAACTATGTCAATATCCGCCAGTTGTTCAATGTTACCCTCGTGCTTCAGACTCGCCTTCTGCTGCTGCTCCACGTAGGCCAGAAGCTGCAGATCCGCATCGATCTCCTTGGCCAAACGGCGCGCCTTGCTCCACTGCTCCGTTTTGATGAACACATCCACCGCCTGCTTGGGCAAATCGGCTGCTAAATAGAGCTGAGCAGCGGGTCCTATTTGCTTGATGGCGAGTAACCGCGGTCCCAGTGACTCCGCCAACTCTTCTGCATCCTTGCCCTCCAGGAATTGATTGCAAATCTCCGCCGCTCTTAGCAAAGCCCTCTCCAAAGTGGCTGCATCCTCGGCATTCGAGGAATCTATCTGCATGAGGCACTCGGCTGCCTTGCGGAATTGCTCCTTCTTGGCAAACTCAGCTGCCTTTTGGAGATAGCCCCTCGATACAGATGCCGCATCCTCGCCAGCCTGCGCCTGACCACGTTGCAGTTGCGCCTGCAGACGCCGCAAATCATTCAGAGCCGATGGATAGTGCTCCTCGGCAATCCGCAAAGCATCTTCATAGAGCGATTCCTGTTTGTAGTGCTCCACAATCAAATCAGCACGATGTGCCCGCAGGAGCAGCGCCTCGTAATCCTTGTAGTTCCTGGTTTCCAAGGCAGACGAAGCCTGGCCAATGAGCACCTCAGCCACGGCATCCTGCAGATGATTCTCCGCCACATTCAAGGCGGCCTGCCAATCGCCAGCATGCTGGTACATCAAAATAGCCTCTCTAGGTTTATTGGCCTTTAGGAACTCCGCCTCTGCCGCCTCGAACTTGCCCTCATCCTCCAGAGACATGGCTATCTTCAGGTGCACCTCATCCGTGGAACGCCCAGCGAAGCGGCAGAGTTCCATGGCGAACTCAAACTGACCGGAATCGCAGGCGAAACCCACTGCGGTGTCCAGAAGTTCCAGTTTGCTGAGCAATCGAACCGCACTCTCGGTGGGCATGGATTTGGCCCACATGTAGGCCACCTGCTGGCTGGCGCCCTCGGTGCCCTTCTGCTTGGCCACCCGATAGCCATCCTCCCAGCGATTCGAGGAGCAGTACATGTGCACGGCGGACTTCCAGTCCCCGGAGGCCACGAAATGCAGCTCCGCATTCTTGAGTTTCCCACGGGATTCTAACTGGCGAGCCAGGTGAAGATGGGTGCTGTCCAGCAGATCCTTGTGATGACGCTCCACCAGGCGAATCATCGAGTCGTAGAGCTCCCTTCGCTTGTACATGGCTATCGCGAGATCCGGTTCATTCACAGCCACCAGGACCTTCTCGGCATCCCTGTACTTTCCCTGATCCTCCAGCGTTCCAGCGAGTTGGATGAAGAGGTCCCTCAGTTGATCTTGCTTTAGATACTTTTCCCCAATCACATAGGCTCGCTCCCATTTGCCATGACGATTCAGTAGCTCTATGGCCTCTTTATAAAGATTAGCCCTCACCAACATGTCCTCTGCTCCATCCAAATCCCCTGCAAAGGCGAGATGTTTGGCCAGATCCGTGGCATATCTCTGGATGAGCTCGGGTTCGTCCAGGACCTTGGCTATCTGGACCGCCTTCCTCCATTGCTTGGCACCCACGGCTGCCTCCAGAGCTTTTTGGGTTGCTCCCGCTTCTATGTAGTGGTTGATAGAAGCATCCAGTTGCTTGCGAGCCACCAACCAATCGCCCCACTCTTCCTCTAAAGATGTAACCTCCTGCGGGGCCACCACTCGTCCCAGTTCCAAGGCCCTGGCATATGCTCCTCCCTTTCTATAAAGAGATAATGCCGCCTCTGGTCGGGATAAACGATGGGCTATGTCCCCAGCTAATTCATAGAGCTCCGAGCGCACCAATCCCTCGGTGACCTGCAGCATCACCTGCTCATCTTGGAGAATGTGGGGAGTTTTCAAGGCCAATCGAGCAGCCCTTGCTGGTTTGTTAGCTTTCAAAAACAAGGACATGGCCTGCTGGAGATCACCCTGCTCCTCTAGAACCTGACCGGCCTTCTCCTGCTGCTCGCTGTTGAGCAAGTAGTCCATGTGCTGTTGCTTCAACTCCGAGATTCGATTGTAGCCCCTTCTCTCCGCCAGGGAAACTGCCTCATCCCACATCCCCAGTTGTTGGTACATCTTCAGGGCTGCTTCTATATCCCCTTGCTCCAGATAGATTCTCTCTGCCGTGCGCAAATCCGATCCTAGCAGAGCCATCTTGGCACGCACCTCGGGACAGAGAATTCCCGGAGAACCCGAGGTCGCCTCGAACTCATCCGCCTGCTGGATCATCCCTTCCAGATAGTAAGCCTTGGATACGTTACCCAGAGCAGCATAGCATCGCTGGGCCACCCGGAGATTGCCATCCTCCAGGGAGATTAGGGCCAGGTTGTGCCACATTGCCTTGGCCGCCGGTTTGTCGCCCAGGGATTCCAGAAAGTGGACTGCTCTTCCGAAGTCGCTGTCATTCACCGCAGTTCCAAACTCCACCAGGCCCTCATCCAACTGGTAGTTGTGTTCGCTCGGTCCATCCTGCGATCGAACCACTGTGCGACCCTATAGATAGTAACCAGATTTAAAGTTAAAACTGCTTAATTAATGAAGGGATGTTTTGGACCTAAGTTTTAAAAAAATTATAATATATGGAAATTACCACACTTAAAAACTTAAAACTTTAGAAAACATTTCTTTTGAAAATTTCTACATCCATCCTGAAATTGAACCACTGTGCGACCCTATAGAAATTAACCAGGGTATATGAAAATGGATTAGTATTTTAGGGTTTTGGATTGTAATGATTCGGGGTTCCTATAGCAGAGTTTGGACATTATAATGATAAAAAGATTTCAAGATTTAAAGGTAAAATTGCTTAATTGATTAAGGGAAGATATTGACCTAAGGATTTTAGAAACGAAACGAAGTTTACACGATAAAAGCCTAAAATATATGGAAATTACCACACTCAAAAGCCATACTCTGAATTTTAAATGATTTTTTTTTAAATGATTAACCATGGTATATGTAAGAGGATTAGGATTTTAGGGTTTTGGATTGTAACGATTTAAGGTTCCTAAGCTGAGTTTATATATTATAGCGATTTCTAGTAAAATTGATAAGGGCTAAAGAAATTCTTCTGAAAATGTATACATTTTTAAATTTACCATTTGGAAAAAAAGGGTCTTAATAGACATTCTCCTTAAAAACTACTTTTACATCTAAGCATTAAGTTGCTATAATATGCAAAAGAAAAGAGTACTTTCTTTTTCGAAAACTAAATTCTTACATTTTCTATCTTGTTAATAACTTACATTTTCCCTGAGCACCTCGATGGCTTCCCCACGAACACTCTGCATGGTCACATGCTCCGGCAAATCGATGTTGTACCAAATGGCCAAATTGGCGTTGCTCTGGGCCACCACCACATCGCTCTGTGGAACCCACTGGACAAAGGATATGTTGCTGAGCAGGGTTTGCTTCTTCCCCGTATAGTTATCCACCAGGATCAGCCGGAGTTTCTTGTCCCGAAACAGCAGCTTATGGGCAGTCTCACTCAATTCCAGCCAATCGATCTTGGTCTCATGATTGATCTGACCACTGGTCATCCGGCTAACCAGATCCACCACACAAATGGTTTTGGCATCCAGTAGAAAGGCAAGCTTCTTATTTTCCCTGGCATTCCCACGCTCATTTAAACGCACTGAGATCACATGGGGATTCACAAATTCCGTGCGAACAGATCCCAAAATAGAATTTTCACCATATTCCACGAGACTCAGTTCACCCACATTGAAGACCAGGCAAACTGTGGGGTTCTCAAAGTAGAAACGTTCATGGTGACCCGAGGCTGTCCAGGGAACTTCGCTGCTTAGGTTTCGGGTTAAATCACAAAGGATCAGGGACTCCTCGGTGCGGGCCACCAGATAGTTATCCCTGCCCATAATCCTCACATCATCGATCTCCAGACCCAACTGCGATTCAATCGTCAGCTGTTGCGAGGGTTCCGTCAAGGATCTCACCAGAAGTTGACTGGGTGCCACGAAAATCAGCTCGAATTTATCCTGCCAAACGGTGCGTCGAAGGACGGACTCGAAGAGGAGCACTGCTCCACTCACCGATCCCAGGGCAAGTCGGGCTCCATCTCTTCGCCAGAGGAGGCTGCTCAAAGTGTACAGACAGGCCACCTCCTTGCTGGCACTCTCGCTCCAAGCTCCCTGCCGCGGACTCCACGCGAAGATCCGTATCCTGTCGAAGCTGCCAAAGGCCACCGCCTGTCCATTGGGACTACAGGCGGCTACAGTGAACTCCCGTTCGCCTTCGGTACGGGAGTGATCAAAGGTGCGCAGCTGGCGACCCTGTAATGAAATAGTTTTTGAAAGGTTTTAGAAGGAAAAAAAATATTATGAAATAAAAAAAATATAATTTATGTTTATCATTTTTACTTAAATAATTTTATATATAAAACCAGCAATTTAGAAAATAGCTGCAAATTTTTAATATAATATTTCAATATTTAAAAAACACTAAAACCGCTCTGATAAGAGAATACCATTTTTTTTTTATTATTATTCGGAGTTTTTTAGATAAGGGTCGGATGTACAGTTTGCTTAGGATTTTATATTTAACTCTAAAGGCGAATGGTGATTTGGCTGTTTCAAGAACATTTATCAAAATGTGCCAATTATCGCAATGCCAAGTTTTGGCCTTCCACTAATATTTGTTTTTTTATTAAAAAACATGCACACAAAACGTGGCACTTGTAGTTCCCATCTGGGCATATAAATAGGGGTAAGTTTTGCATAGAGCTTACAGTATTCATCTGAGTTCCAAATATAAAAAGTCGTCTAATAAGTTGTGCATACCACCGGTTGTTTAACATGGAATTAAGCTTGGTTAGACTACTGGTCTATATGCTCATAGTAATATATTCTACAAAGGGCGATGAGGATGAGAGCCTATTGTCCTACGCGGATAAAATGAAGTCCTACATGAACATGAGTGCAGAACCTTGTGAAGACTTTTATGAGTACGCCTGCGGAAATTATAAAGGGAAGCCCCAAAGGAACAGATGGATAGGCTGGGAATATAAAGGGATGGAGGGCGAGACGGAACATTTATGGAGTTTGATGGATCTGGCGGAGTCCCTCAATGTGTCCAACGAACTTAGGGTGGCCCAAAGATTCTACAATGCCTGTCAGCGAGCTGATCTCAGTCTCTTTCCCGGAGATCCACATTACCTTCAACTCATTCGCTCGATCGGAGGCTTCCCGGCCGTCGATGGTGCCTCTTGGAATGCCTCAAACTTCAGCTGGTTCAACATGAGCGCCCAAATTATCGATTACGGGGTACAGGGTCTGATCGGTGAAAGAATCTTCTGGAAACATCCTTTTCCGCGTTACATGGACTTTCTAGAGAGATTTCTGGGTTTTAACCACAAAGTTCACAAGCGCAATCTACGAATAAGAACATATGCTGGATATTCTCCCTATGTTGGCTTTACGGAAAATGAACCGGTCATGCGCAGATACTTAAGAGCATTTGAGATGCCATTGGATAAAAGAAAGCAGGTGGTCAACGGTATATTTGCATTCTGGCGTGAGGCGCTAAGGGTGGCAAGTAGATTCCCGGAGGATGGAAACTGCGAATTCTTCGAACATAACTACTTGAAGATCGTCTGGAACCAGAACGAAACCAAGGAGCACGAATTGTGTAATTCCTACTTTGCGGCGATAGACAAAGTGTGTGCTCGACATCCGGAGGCTGTGGCCAATTATCTGGCCATGAAGCTCCTTACCGCCTTCGATCCTGAATTTAAAAAGCAAGAACCATATTGCGATAAAACGCTGTGGACCTCAATGGAGTTCCTTCTCAACAAACTCTTTTCGGTGGTGAGATGAAGATAAAACTTAGAAATTAATTAGTAAATGCTTTTTTAAAATGTCACATTAACATACACTAGTCGGCATAATTATTTTGACAGATTTTAAAGTTAAATCTACTCATATTTTGAACTTATAACTTTTGGCTTCTATAGAAAAAGCACTTGAACTCCGTTTAAATGACACAAAAATGATCTTAACCCATTGAGCACCCTTTAAAAAATAATTTTCAACATCTATTTTCTTACAAATAGCTAAAAATTACAAGTTTAGCCGTTTTTTCCTCCTATTCATACAAAATTTGACTGAGATCTTTCCATTTAAAATTATGAAATTACTATTAATTTTGCTTTGGGAAAGACTTTGCATCAAAATTTTTTATTTAAGCCCCAGGAAAAAATTTTAAAACTTGACTTTCACAAAATTTTCGAACTTTTCAAAAGGTGCTTTAGGCTTAGTACTCAACCCAACAAAAAGTCGTCCAAAACAAAAAACTTCATATGAAAAACAAGAAAGGAAGCTAGCTTCGGCCAGCCGAAGCTTATATACCCTTGCAGATCATTCCTATTAATTAACAAATCGCAAAAATGTTCAATTTTCTTATATTTCTCATTAATTTTCCGATCGTTCCTATGGCAGCTATATGATATAGTCGTCCGATTTTGATCAAATTAAAATTGAAATTCGGAAATATTTAAAAAGAGTCATAAATAGAGTAGAAGATAATACAATAAAAACCAAAGAAGCTAGAATTTATTTCCTATTACTTTTCCATTAATTTACCGATCGTTCCTATGGCAGCTATATGATATAGTAGTCCGATTTTTTAAATATTTAATTCGAAATTCAGAAATATTTAAAAAATAACATCCCCAAAAGTAGAAGGTAATATTTCAAAAAACACCGAAGCTAGAATTTTTTTAACGTTTTCTTTTCCGATCCTTCCTATGGGAGCTATAAGATATAGTTGTCCGATCCGGTTGGTTCCGACATATATACTACCTGCAATAGAAAGAAGACTTTTGGGAAAGTTTCATCCCGATAGCTGAAAAACTGAGAGACTAGTTTGCGTAGAAACAGACAGACGGACAGACGGACGGACAGACGGACAGACGGACATGGCTAGATCGACTCGTCTAGTGATGCTGATCAAGAATATATATACTTTATGGGGTCGGAAACGTCTCCTTCACTGCGTTGCAAACTTCTGACTGAAATCATAATACCCTCTGCAAGGGTATAACAACGTCAAAAAATTTTGTTTCATATGAAGTTTTTGTTTTGGACGACTTTTTGTTTTTTTTGTACTTTTGTACTAGCCCTAAGGGGTTAAGAACATTTTTGTAACATTTAAACGAAATAGAAGTCAAAATAATTATGCCTACTAGTGTACGTATTATTGATACAAGATCACATAATAATGTCAAATAATATTGATTTTTTTTTCTGTGCAGGACCATTTTACTGAGCGAGCATTGCTGGAAGTGCCGGACATTGTAAAGGCAGTAAGGAATACCCTGAGAAGTTCGCTGGAGGAAGCCGATTGGTTGAGCTCGGAAGAACCAAAGGATCAACTGCTTAAGGACTCTCCGCTCGACTTAAGCGGTGCCAATTTGCTCACCAATAATCAGATTCCGGAGATTGGGAGCTTAGACTTGGTCGATGATAAAAACGATACCACCAATATAAATCTTCAGCGCTTCATTGTTGAGATGAATAGATACAACATACGCCACTCTAAGGAGCTCTTTAATTCCTCCGATTTACCAGAAAATATGATATCGGATATCTACCGTGCGGCCAACCTTTTGCAAACACCCATTTACCACTCTTCTTGGCCGTTGTCCCTAAAATTCGGCGCCTTGGGAAGTGTACCAGTGCTGCCATCACTCAGCTTGAAAAACAGGACAGATAAGCCACAAAAAACAGGGAAAAAAAGGACAAAAAATTTAAGAAAAGGACAAAAAAAAAAGGACAAAAGTAAATGTGCCTACATTTTTCTGTTTTTACCAATGGGTTATATATTTACTTAATATAAATGAATTTTAAATAAAATTTAATTATGTAATGATCTACTGCGCCCGACTCACAACCTTCTTTGTTTGATCATTTTACCATGGTAAATTTTTGTGCGTATACGTAATAATCTAAAATTATTATAATAATTAATTCATTTCAAGTAACTATATTCGTAATACAAAAAAATTAAATATCTGCGTCAAACCCGAAAAAGAGTCGTTCAAATCTGAATTTTTTTTCTAACAAAAAAGCAGAGAGTAAAAATTAAGAAATTTTAAAAGTGCTTTCCTCTTTTTTTTGCTACAGAAAAAATCGTACTATAAAGAAAATCCATCGACTGCTTTACGTCTCTTTAATAATTTGTAAAAAGAATTATTTTTTAAGTGCCGAACTGTAAGAATGATGGTTAAAAAGGCATTTTAGCAAATAAAAACAGGTTTATACACTTTCGACTAGCAAAAATAACATTCAAAACCTTATCTTTGAAAAAAGGACAGATTTCCGGATGGGGGATGTTTGAATTTTTTTCCGGATAAAGTCGTTAAAAAAAGGACAGATCTGTCCGGAAAGAGGACAAAATGGCAGCACTGAAGTGTACTGGCGGGCTATTTCCCGAAGGACTTCTTAAAACGTAAAGAGGGATATGGGGAACGCCGTCAGTGCTTTGCGGAATACTACAATAGTTGGTTCAGTTTGGATGACAATGAATATGAGAAAGAATACTTTGGCTTTGATACATTGCGACTGTCATTCTCTGCATATCAAAAACACATAAAGCAAATTATGGAGGATCCGAAGCAGGAGAAGATCAACGAAACGATGCCAGGACTCGACCTTTCCCCGAATCAGCTCTTCTTTCTTGGAGCCACTCAGTTGTGGTGCTCCGAGGGAGAAGAATATGATAAGTCTCAAGTTTTTTTCTCCTTAACGAGCAACGAAGACTTCTACCAGTCATTTAACTGTCCTGTAGGATCCGGTATGCGACCAACAGCCGACATTTGTCATTTGTGGTAGTTAAGAGAATATTCACTTCACAAACGAAAAAATGTTTCTTACTACTAAAAAGATATTAAAAATACGCATTACTTAGCAGGGTTCTTTTTCGCATGGACTGATAACATGGGTGCAGTATTAAATAATCGATTAGTGATCCTGATTAGGAATGTATATATTTTATAGGGTCGGAAACGCATTTAAAATCTTAAAATTCTTTTTTGATAAATAATAAAAAATACAATAGATATCAAAGCGAATAATATTTGAATTAAATATGAAATTTTGGGATTTAGTACGATATTTTTCACTATAGAGATTTCAACTTACCATGCTGTCGTAAAAGACAATCCTCTGATCACAGCCACCCACGCAAAATCCACCCTGTGGCCAGGCCAATGCGAATGGAGGCACCGAGTGCTGCACCACCCTGCCCAGTGGTTCTGTGGCCTCATCCGTCATGAAATATCTTATAATGGTTCCATCATTGTGGCCACTCAGGAAGCCAGTTCCCTTGGTATTGGAGGCCAAGGAAATGCAGATGCTATCCCCTCCATAGAGACTTTGCGACTTATTGCTTTTGCTATGCAGAGCACGTACTTTGCCATCCTCCAGTCCTAAAAATAATAATATTTAATTATTTATTCTTTATTAAAATTATTAAAAAAGGCTTACCTGCAATTATAGAACCCGAAGTGAGCCAAATCAGGGCAGTCACCGCACTGGCCTGTGGAAACTTGTTACAAATCACCTTCTTATCGTTCCAAGATTCCCCTAGTTTATAAACATAAACGATGCTATCGCTCTGACCCACTGCTAGTTTGGTGGAATCCGGACTGAATGCCAATCCCCGTATGACATACGAGTTCTTTCCATTCGAGGGATTTGCAGGCTTGGTGCTGAACTTATCACGTCTTTCGCCAGCATCATCATAAAGTAGAATATGACGATCTGCGGTGGCAATGGCCAGTTTTTGCTGGTTGGGAGACCAGGCTAACCCGGCTATCCTTTGAATTTGCTCCTGGGAAAAATATTATATTATTTTAAAATAAATAAATATTTTAAAAAATAATGTGAGACCAGAAATACTATTTAAAATATTCTTAAAACTACTTTTGGAAATAAATTCAATCAAATAATAATAATAATTACATTTATAATAATTTTATTTAATTTAAGTTCCATTTAAATCAAACCCTTCACACCTTTTAATGTTTTTTACGTGCAATAATGAAATTGCACTTATGAAAATGACAGAACCTTTGTAACTTAAATTTGTATTGTACATTTAAAGATTACCATATTTAATTTCCACTTTTACCATTCACAAATAAATTACCTGACCCTCCAGCAATGTTCGAAGATATTTCAACTGCATTTTTCCTAAGATTTCCTTTGACTTTCCCGTATTTCTCTTGATTTAATTTTCCGATTATAAATGTTCTGTTAATTTTTCTGACGTACTTTTAGCCGTTGTTGTGGTCCGTGTCAGTTGTTGTGGCAACCGGGAGCTCGGCAACCGCCCCCTGCCAACCACCCAACCGCCCACTGCCACCCACCCCTTTTGTGGTGTCTCTGTGTTGTTGTGTTGTCTATTTTCTTGGCGCTTCCGCTTTGCGCTGCCATTCTAAATAAATGGTCTTTGTTTTGAGATGCAGCAGGTGCCGGGCCTGCCACAGGATGGGGCCCAGGATGTGGATCTGTCGGTGGATGGGTGGTTGCTTTGGGGGTGGGTGGGCGTCCCACCACCCACAACCACAAAGCTGTTGCTTGCTCTGCAGACAGCGCAGCCCGCTGTGAGTTGTCCTAGTCCTTTCAGCAGAGAGAGAGAGAGCGAGAGAAGAGAGTCCTGCGCATGTCCTGCGAAGATAGAAAGAGTGTCTCAGGTGAGAGGTCAACTCATACAGGTGTGCTGAGGCGAGAGCGCATGACCTTGGGGGTGGGTTTTAGGGGAGGTCTCCTTAACATTGGTCTAAAACAGCCCTCTATCGGGGATTTTCCAGTCGCTGTTAGGTTTTCACATTGTATACAATTTGTATAGCAAGAGTGTCTTGATATAAAACCAAAGAACACACCCCCGAATTTATAGTTCTAACGTATAACTTATTTTATGGCAAAAATGATTTATATAAGATGCAAAGTCACCCTCGAGTTCATATTATTGTTTTTTGTGTCCCTTGATACTGTTTAAGATTTACTGCTTTAATATAAGATGGCTAGACAAATTTTAGATATGGTTTCAGATTTTATAAAGGTTATTCTAATGAATGTATACTTGAACTCCTCTACTTTTAGGTTTCTCAATTTGTCAAACTAATTATTTCATACTTATTTTCCAACTATTTAAAACTGGAATTGATTTTAAAGCTAAATTGGTTTCAAATTTGATTCTCTTAAAAATACTAAATATTTACCATTGATATATAAAATTTATTTTGTTTATTGCTTTTTTATATTTATAATTTTAGTTTATTGCTTCTTAAGGCTGCTTTGGTCTGCTCTCACATCCTTTCAAGCAGTTTGCTTTCCACGCACTTTTAGTTTACTTCTTGTTAATACTGCTTGATTTCACTGCTTCGTATCCTTGATTCCATATTCTTTAAAAGTAAAATGCTTGCATTTCTTACATGCACTGCTTTCCACCCCCTTTTTAAGGACGATTTTCGGAGTGCCTACTAAACTTTCACCACCATTTCCCCAGCAGGATGCTCAGCAAAGCTGTTTCTCTCTCTTTTCTCTCCTTATTTTCAAACTCTCTCTTCGGTTTCTCTCGGCTCTGCTCTCGTCCTTTCGGGAGGCTCGTGAATCTCTCGTTTTCGGGGGACCAGCATCGTGTTCGCCTTGGCCAAGTCAAAAGGACTTACGGAGGCAGCTGGATAAGGCGGCTGCTGATTATTTTATTCAATGGCGGAGGCCAAGTCGTAGCGCCAACGTGGCTAATGTATGGCTATGGCCCAACGCATTGTGGCAGGTCAAAGCGGGCAATTCAGTCTGGGTTTTCGGTTCTGGTTGGTCCTTCGTCCTTTTTGGCCTTTTCCCGAGCTGAGCTGAACTGAGCTGAGCCACTTTCCTTTTATACCAGTGCCTGGTTGGCATCCCTTTAATGAGTTTCATTAATTAAAGCTACTTTGTTGGCACTGCTTGTTCTTTCCGCCCTGTGATCTATGTGTGGGTGGGGGTTGTACATACATATATGTGTGCATGAGTAAACATGCAACATGAATTTTGTCCTTGACTTTTAATGGGTTTATGACAAAAGCGCTGCCACCGCCCCTCACAAAAGGAAAAAAAAACAGATAGAAAAACCCCCCTGGAAACGTTGCTAATGTGCAGGGCGTTCTCAGCTGTGTTCCTATATAGGGAAGATATATATATATATACTTTTGTGCGTGAGTGTGGGTAAAAGAGTTGTTAAAGCGGACGTCTGCCGGAAGCTCTTGTGGGTGCCATTTTGGTTCATGTTCCATGCGACGCACGCCATTTTTATCTCGCTTCCTTCTTCGTTTGCCCTGCCTTAAACCATTCGCATTTCGCCAGACTTTTGTCTCTAAAACTTGGCTGCTTCCCTTTGGATTTTCTCCCCTTTTCCGCTGTCATTGTTTCCACGTTTTCCCTTTGATATTGGTCTATTGGTCCTGTGGCCAAGGCCGCTGGCATTTTGGCTGGCGCTGCATTTTTTAGCCATTTTAGCCATCTTGGCCATCTTGCCCGTCTTAGCCACATCCGTTTGACGGCGGCGTCTTTCGCTTTCGGGCCCAGCTTAATTTGTCGTCTTACAATTTTTATCTCCTCGAGCAGGCGAAATGCGCTCAAGATGCTATCAATTAGGTGGATGCCACTCGGCAGGAAGCTCCTGGGTTTCTTTTAAACCCTTTTGAGACCAATGTGTCTTAAATTGAAAATTAGATAGAAATAAATGTGGCTTTAGGTTGTATACACAAAAAAAATATTAAAACATTAAATTAAAAATAGGAATATTTTACTATTTATTAAAATATTTTACTGCTTCTCACATGATAAACAAAATTTTAAAAAATGGCACACTTTTATTTAAAATTAATTTGTTATGTTTACTAGATAGTTATACCCGTTACTCGTAGAGTAAAAGGGTATATTGTATTCGTGCAAAAGTATGTAACAGGGAGAAGGAAGCGTTTCCGACCCCATAAAGTATATATATTCTTGATCAGGGTCACTAGCCGAGTCGATCTAGCCATGTCCGTCTGTCCGTCTGTCTGTCTGTCTGTCTGTCTGTCTGTCCGTCTGTCCGTCTGTATGAACGCTGAGATCTCAGAAACTACAAAAGCTAGAAGGTTGAGATTTCCCACACATATTCTTTGGCTTCCTACGCAGCGCAAGTTTATTTTAGCCGAGCGCCACGCCCCCTCTAACGCCCACAATCGCCCACTAACGATTTTAAAATGGGTCCTGCGCCCACATCTTTAAAGATTTCCGAGAAATATAAATGCAATTTTGTTGTGTATATTTATACCTATCGAAATGTAGAAGACATTTTTCAAATCGGACCATTCTTTAAAAAGTTATACGCAATCAAAAATTATATATCCTCCCTTTAGCTGAGTTACGATTATTAGTCGGGACACCAACCCGACACAGCGTTCGCACTCCCTTTAGCTGAGTGACGGGTATTAGATAGTCGGGACAACAACCCGACTATAGCGTTCTCTCTTGTTTAAAAATAAATTTTAGAAAATAGTAAATTAATTTATTTTACCCTCCTGTATATAAGTTAAACTAATTAATTAGTGTTGATATCTTACATACATCTGATTTTATATTATCCAAGTTCAATAAGAATTTGTTTAAAATTAAAATTAAATACTTTAAAATCACTAACAGTTTGAAAATCCTATTCAATAAAATACCTGTTCATTTCTTTTTCATATTTCTCAGGCTTTCTCCAATAGTTGTGATTAAAATTCCCATCCTCATCTCACCTTTAAAGAGTCCAACCCAAATCTTGTTGCAATTTAATTTGGTTTTAAGCACTCCTGACCGAAAATGGGTTAAGCCAACTTTGGCAGCCGCAAGAGCTGCGCTAATTCAGCTTTAAGGCAACAATCTGGTTAAAACTCTCATAGCCGCAACTCAAATCTGGGCATTAGTGGCTCGCGTACTTTTTCGCAGCGCCAGGCGAAAGCGAAAACGGAAACTTTTCCTCAACTTTGGGTTATATACCCCCAAACCAAACCCAAGCTCACATACAATAGCCCAGTCTCCTAGGGATTTCCCAGACCGTGCGTAGAAAGAAAAGTGCAACTGCAACAAACTCGAAAAGTGCGGCAGGAAGTGCGCGAAATAACAGTAGAACAGCTGAACAGCAGAACAGCGTCAGCCGAGTGAAACTTCGAGTGGCGAAAAGGGGCAAGTGCTATGCATAATGAATAACATTTTCAAATTAGTTTCCGGTCAGCGGAGATTTTTACGCAGTTTGTCAAGCGCATGAAGCTGAGTCCGCGGGGTGCTTTCACCGAAAACAAAAGAAAGCCACTGTTTAAACAAAGAAAACGCCGGAAAAAGCGCAGTTCGAGGAGAGTTTAATGATGAATTTATGCCACGAAACAGCTGCCAGTTTTGCTAAGGTAAAGGCTTAAATTATGGAACTTAATTTCATGAATTTTAAAGTGTTTAAATTTAAATTTAAGGAAGTACTTAAATAAACTGTAAATTTTTTGTATTGTATATTATTTTATTTTTGAGTATTTTTTATTTAATGGGTTTTAAATGGTTTTTATAAAAATAATTTAAAATACTTATTTACATTTTTAAATAATTAGTATACTATAAGAAAAGTGAATAATTTTTTTTAATTTATGCTCAATTATTTTATTGTTTGGTATTTAAATTATTTAATATTTTAAATTTAATTTCCTAATCATTAGTTCTTTAGGGTTAGAGAATAATATAAAATAATTAAATTAATTAATAGGATTTTTTCTAGTTTTTATAGTTAAAAATTTTCTGTATCTTGTGATATTTTAACTATTATTTTAACTAAATTACCATATACCTAAACTTAGCCCCTTTTCAAATGGCAATGTCCATTAATAATGCCAAAACACATGGCTGAATTAGATAACAATCCTTCTGAGTAAAACTGAAAGACCAATCTATTTCCATCAAATGCCATTTAAACTTAGGAGGCCTTCGCCCTGGCTCTGAAATTATAGTCCCCTCTGTCAGGATATAATTATATGCTGCTAACGTGCAATCAAAGCGATTGCCATAACAATAATAGCAGCGACAGGAGGAGGTGAATGGAGAATGGTGAATGAGGAGCAGGAGCCTAGGTCAATCATTTAACAAGCCCCCATGGAGAGCGAGGAAATGGGAATTTTAGGTGGCTCCTCGGTGTAA